TTGGTGCTAAATGACATCTGAAGTCCCAGAGTCGCACTCACAAACACACACTCATTCAACCCTCATGAATTATACGCATTTATAGTAGAGGAAACCAGAGCACCTGGAGGAAACTTACACAAACACGGGGAGAACATGTAAACTCCACACAGAAAGGACTTTTCTAGAGGTGGAATCGTACCTTCTTACTGAATCAGAATCAAAATCGGAATTCTTTTTATTGCCAAGTTTTGTTGGAAGTCAAAAACTAGGTATAAACAGATACAAGGAAGGCATCTTCAGATGATCTCTTAAAATAACTAAATAAAACTATATACATGTGCGCTTTGTTCACTCAATAGACATTGCTAACCAGTGCTTTACTGGTCCTATTCCAGCAAAACAAAAACAAAACAAAAACGCGAGGAGGGCTGTCATTTCGCTTCACTGCTCGCCTAATGTTGAAGGCACTATTAATAAAACAGGATTTGAGAGCACATGTAAACTGCCAATACTCCGATAGATTGTGTTTTGCTTCCCCTGTCATATAAATAAGTATACCGCGGATTGATGCTAGTGCAGTAAACACATCTATGATTTATTAGCAGCTTTTGTCTATCCCGTTTTTATCGACAGATGCTTTTTTTTTTGTACACGATTTTAGACTCTTGCTACAAATGATTTAGGGTCAGCATTCTTTTCCCTTTTACTTATTCAAACCCAGGAGGGCTCTTAACGTAGGCGGCGGGACGAATTACCCACATTTCCCCGCGGGGTTAGGAGGCGGGGCTTGGAGTTCGACCTGTCAGCTGCCCTCTCGTCTCTCATTAATCACTTAAGGCTACTGCAGGCCAAGCACTAAAGTGAACAAAAAAAGAAAGGAAAATGTGTGAACGCAATGCCAATGTATCATTAGGCCGTGTGCAGTGATCGATAGAGGACAAAAGCAGGAGCAGTAAATACTTGGAGCTGCTTTTGGGAGATAGAGACGCTCGGGTCATCTTTCACTGGTATGGTATGCTATGATTTTGATGTTGTTTTTACAGTGTCAGGACAGGGGAGGTGCATTGTAGCAGGTTGTAGCAGCTGTGCTAATTTACACGTATAGTCTCTGAGCAGGTTGTTGTAAAACTGTAGATTAAAAGTCGATGGCTACATGACCATACATTAAAAATTATCAGACAGAAACTACAATTTAAGTTTACCCTACAAGTTAAAATAAAACTACCTAGCCCCATTCTACACTTTCTCTCTATAAATATAAACACAGAGAGACACACACACACTCGGTATGAAGCAGTTGTCGCGGAATAGATGCCTGAGAGAATAACGGCCCGCTCAATAGTTACAGTTATAGTGTTGTTTAGACATGAGAAGACACATTGGATATTTAATTAAGTACATGCAGACAGTTTGACAGTGGAAAAGCAAGTTTACTTGTTCATACTCAAGGCAATTCAAAGTGCTTCACAAAGCAAGATAGAGACATTAGTAATCATAAATAATCAATAAATAATTAAAAACATGTGTTATTATTATTAGGTTTTTTTTTATGGGTCTAAAATGATTACTATTACTCTGGGTCACATCCTCTTTCTGTAATTAAGTCTAATTTATACGTTCAAAATAAATGCATCTCCAATAACCATCATTTATTTTAACATCCAGGCTTGTTATTGTTGCAGCACAGAAAAATAATCACAAAATTGCTAAAATAAACCAGCATGTACAGCTGCTGCAGCAAAGGGAGGAGAGAAGGCAAAGAGGAGCAAACTCCAAAGTCAAAACTTAATCCAAATCAGCGAATTTGGGTTAATTTTCCAAGGCAGCTGACAACATCCCAAGGCAGAAAAAACAGGCGCTAATGCTGTGTTGCTGGATTAGCTAAGCAAGGTGAATTAGTCAACTCCGTAAGGTGCACCACATGCTTTCAGTTCACTTTCTTTAATAAGTTTGTGACAAGACCCAGAGATCAGCTGTTTTTAAAGGGTATGAGCTCTTGCACGGACAAGGGATTGCATTAGAAAAAGTATCTCTGCTGTCTCAAGAAAACCCCTGATCCTTTGTCTTAAACATTTCTGAATAGATTTTATCGTGCTATTTTTGCCCAGAAATATTTATTTTCCAATAACTTTGTGGCATCACTCTTTCCTATGACCTTATCCCACATTCTGCAACTCGCCGCTCAGCACCAAAAGTCCAAACCTCAGCTTTCCACGGCTCCTGTACAGTGACGTTGCACTTTTCAAACGAGCCCACACAGAATGGGAGCTCCCTGCTGCTAAAACTGCTCAGACGACAACCAGCGAAGGACAAAAGGCCAGCGGTCTGGAAGGGGGCTACGATCTATGAGGAATAATGAGTGTTCTCTGGAAAGCTCTATTCATGTATGACACATTGTGAGAATAAAGATAAGACAGAAGGAGAGTGTTAGAAAAATGACAAAGAATACTGTGTGGACCATGCAAAAAGTCTCCATACCCAGTGACATGTTAGTGCCATATGACTGGGACTCTGAGGAGCACAGAAACTGGCCTCCTGCTGGGACTCTGAGGAGCACAGGGACTGGCCTCCTGCTGGGACTCTGAGGAGCACAGGGACTGGCCTCCTGCTGGGGCTCTGAGGAGCACAGCTGACTGGCCTCCTGTTACTTTGAGTTGCCTTTTGAAAGAACTATGCTATACAAATACATTGTCTTATCAAATCTGTTATATATTACAATATTACAAAATAAATAAGTAAAAGACCCACACCATAACATATACAGATAAAAAGATCAACATGTCTGCAGCCACATTCTCATAAAGCACAACTTTTGGTAATAAGTGTGAGATTTACTAAATTGAAATTGATTTTGAGAGCGCTCGGCAATTGACCAATCACAGCTGTACAAAGTGGGTTCCTGCTTTTAGAAGTCGCCATTTATGCCGTTAAGGAAATGGACTGAAAGGATGATAGAGTTACGTAGCCGGGAAACGCGATCTATATCAATAAGCAACAACTAATAATGTTCTTCCTTTGCAGCAGAATGAGACAGCCTTTTCCTGTCGTGACAAACTTGTGTGAATAACCTTTTAACGGCCGAGACTTGACACGGCTTTATATTATTAATGCAAGTCTCACTCCCGCTCTGTGGTGGTTATCGCTAAATTACACATTCAGGCCCAGTGAGACCGGCTCACAAGCCCAAGTCCTAGTGGCGTATGAGAGGGAGATCTTAAATCGTTTAGGTTCAATACAAATCCCAAAATAAACCTCAAATCCTATGGCAAAAATTTCAAGCTTCTAAATCCAGGCAGTCCGAACCAAGGCCCACGAGCCAAATGCGGCCCACTGTTTCATTTTATGTGGCCCTCTGCATTGCTAACACAAACTATCTATTGAGACAATTCCACAGAGTCTTTAGCCAACTTCAGCTCCACCATTGTCGTTGTAAAGCTCTGATCCTTTGAAATTCAGCCATTTTACTTTCACTTTAGTTGCATATACTGTCAACATTTTTCAATTGTGTCCCAAAATGGCACAGGTGTAAATGCGGTGTTAGTATGGGCATATCACACATCATTTTAAAGACCAAGGCCTGAAAAGCTGTTTTAGAATGTTGTCGACCAACAATGTGCAGTTGAAAATACATGACATTCTTGGTCCTATAACATTAGACAGACAGAGGAATCAGAACATCGGCTGGAATCCATATCATTGAACCAACAATTCTGGCAACAATTCCAGAAACCAAAAATCCAACATTCCTAAATTTTTGAAAACCTTTCTTCAGAATATGCTACTTTAAACCTCTGATATGGGCAGACACATGGATGGGTGTGGGTGGGGCATAGGCAGGACTCACTTTTAATTTTATTTTATGATTATTATAATTTTTTCCTTTGTCTTTTACTGCTTCTGTATGTGAAAAAAATGGTCTACTTTAATTGGTCCTTCTTCAATTGAACCAAATGTAAATCTGAAAAGCATCATAAGCACTTTAACAGGAGAGATTCTGGAGGAGCAACGGTCTGAGGGTGAATTTGCGGCTTGAGAATGTTAGAGTTTTATGACCCGGAGATGGAACTTAAATGCTACGGCAGTAAAATAATGCCCACTAGCAAGATTACCAGCAATACTTTTTAATGCGCTGGCTACAACAAGTCAAAAGCTATGTATGAATTATCAGTCAGATGAGTAAGGACATTGCCCTTAATAACTTTATACAAAACTGTATAAATCACAAAACACTGAAGTATTAGAACGTTGGAAAAGAGCAGTAGTTTTGTCGTCTTGAGGTTGCAATTTCTCCATGCTGTGTTATGAATAAAGAACCAAGGGAAGAACTCAAATACAGGACTTTCAAAGATACAAGATTTAATAAATACAAAAAACATGACAAAAGAGATCGAGACCAGAGGGAGAGAGACCAGAGGGAAACCAGAGAGAGAGACTATAGAGACACCAGAAAGAGAGAGAGACACCAGAGAGAGACCAGAAAGAGAGACCGAGGGAAACCAGAGGGAGACCAGAGAGAGACCAGAAAGAGACTAGAGACCAGAGAGAGATTAGAGACCAGAGAGAGACAAGAAGGAGAGCAGAGGGAGACCGGATAGAGAGACCATAGAGAGATCAGAGAGAGAGACTACAGAGCAACCAGAAAGAGAGAGAGACACCAGAGAGAGACTAGAGACCAGAGCGATACTACAGAGAGACCATGAGACAAGAAGGAGAGCAGAGGGAGACCAGAGAGAGAGACCATAGAGAGACCAGAGAGAAAGACTAGCAAGAGACCAGAGAGAGAAACCAGAGACAGAGCAGAGAGAGAGACCAGGGAGAGACCAGAGAGAGACCAAAGAGAGAGAGAGAGACTAGGAGGCTAGAAATATGGGAGGTTTCAAAATGTTTCAAACCACAAATTGATTTTGTAACATCTTAAGGAGCAACACAAGAAACATAAAAGTTTTAAAAATACTTATAATTATAAAATACTTAAGTGAGAAATGTAGAAGAATTTGGCCTTGACACGGGTTAGTTGGTCAGTCCACCTCAGTCCACATGAGTCTGCACTGTTCGGGGCACTAGCCACAAAACCCAACGATTTCAAAACACACTATTTATTTGGAATTTTAGCATTTTAGCTGTCACTAACAACAACACAATCTACAGTTGGCATGTGACAGCTGGGGTAACACTACACTAATGTATGAATAATGCAAAAACACGCGCTGACAAACACGCAGGAAAACAAGTGCAACGCCTGTTTGGTCAGACAAGACAAAAGAAGTCTCGCTACGTTGAGAAACAAGCTCAAAAACAAGCTCAAAAACAAGCTCAAAAACGTTTATAGTGTTATTGCAGGTAATTTTGTGAGCCAAACAATTAAAACTTAAGCTTCGTCAACCCCACAGAGCTAAACAAAGCCGCGCAGCATTAAAAGTCTATGAATATTTCAACGGGAGGAATCGTGTGACAGTGGCAGGCTACGGGAATCCGTGCGTAAAGCTTGTTTTGGCACAGGGACACTAGTATTAAAACCCGCCTGGATACATAAAGACTCCATGGGATAATGCATTTGGATAAAGTCTCTTCTGTGCGTGTAGGTGCATAACAAACGTCTCCACTTTACGCACAGGTGCACACGTGGATCTAAGTGGTAAACAATGACAGCTCCCGCACTCTCGCTTTGACCCCAGTGACACAGGAGATGTCATGAGGTATGCACGTCTATTCTTGTATCCTGGCAGTCAAAGTGCGTTCAATCGCGTGCGTCGGAATGCCAAAGACAGAGGCATATGGGTGTGTGTGTGTGTGTGTGTGACAAAGAGAGAGCGAGATGGACACGGGACAAGCCAGGCTACTCACGCTGCTGTTCTCCCCGGTCCAGTGCACCATCGCCTGGTTGTGCGTCGCGTCCCCTTTGAGCACGAACGAGCTGCTGAGGAGAGAGACAGGCTTCTCCGGGACCAGCGCTCTCCTGGCGCGTCCCTCGCCTCTTGGCCCGGGTAAAGTCGCTCCATCGCTGCTGCGCGCCCTGACGACTTGACAGCGCACGCCGACGGGTCCGGTACGAGGCATCCAAGTCACCAGCAGCAGCAGCAGGAGAAGGGGGGAAAGAAGGATTCCGAAAGAAGGTTCCGAAAGGCGCGCGAGAAGAAGTGCCATGGCTTTTCGCGAAACACCCCCCGGGAGAGCGCACGTTTCGCGGGGTCTATAGGCTGGATGGGAGTGTACGCTGGATGGGTTGGTGGGGTGGTTGGTTGCGCGCAAGAGGAGAGATGGTGTTGGTGAGGCTGTTGAGTGAGAGGAGAGAGAGAGGGGGGGAGAGAAAGAAAGAGCGAAAGAGCGTGGAGACTGGTACAGTGGAGGGATGAGGGGCGGTGGCACAGCGGCGCCCTCTGTTGGTATTACCGGAGAGAGACCAGAGAGAGACGAGAGAGAGACCAGAGAGAGACCAGAGAGAGACCAAAGAGAGACCAGAGAGAGAGAGTGTGGTCATATGAGTTGATCGAGACTACGTATTGTGTGTAAGTTCAATTCAATTTATTCTTGTACAGGCCTAAATCACAAAAGGAGTCATCTCAGAGGACTTAACTAAACTGTTGAAATTGTCAACACAGATCAGAGAATCAACAGTTAAGACTCACAAAATATAGAACACATATGTGACTATTGCAACAACACATCGTCAGTATAGGGTAAAACTAACCTCAATTGGGCTTTTTTTATATTAGTTACGAAATAATTAAATTACATATATTGTGTAGTCTTAAATCCCAACAGCATTCGTCTCTTCACCAAAAACAGATGAGAGAATCAAACAGTTCAACCACAAGAAATGCCATTATAATAACAAACGCATACAGTAGGAGCCATTAGTGTGTGATGCCAAAGTCACAGTGCCTTGGCATGTGCAATTCCAGCAACCACATGAATGTTGCTCTTTGTTGTGCCCTCAGGCAAGATACTCAATCTGCTCATCCCAGCGCGGACAGCACACAGTGAGATCCTTCAAGTGGAGTAGTTCAATCTCAGGTCTTGAGAGAAGGATCGGTGCTTTGTCAGCAGTGATGTAGTTGTCTTATCAGACTGTCACAGTGAAGAGAGATGTGTCAAAAGAAAATCTGTTTTAGACCATTGCCACACCTCCTTCCCATATATTGGACAACCAACTTAAATCAAAAAATGATTTGAGAAGAGAACTTTCCTGCTCGGTGTGGGAGGGGTTGAGTCGGGACACAGCTGGGGCCAGAGTTCAAAAGTCAGATTTGATCCCATTAACTCACACAAGCGGCATGTGTCTGAGCTGAGGCTCTATCCAATTATATGTGATGTGGGATTAGCATTAGCGGAGCTGCACTGGGCACAGAACCGAGGCCGTTCTCTTACACATGAAAGCGTTTACTAAGAAGATGGATAGTTTCAGTTTGATCAGTCTTTCAGAGAGTGGGGTGGTGCTACAGTAAAGGAGCTTTATCAGTTCTACAAATAGAAATACAGCAATCTTGTACTTCCACATATAGGAAGGTCCTCGACAACAGTCAGATGTTAGGATTTTGTGTTTAGTAATAATAGTGTTTTTAAATCTGTATTTGTTAGTTAAAGAACTAAATACAGATCAAATACAAAATAATACTAATAATGCTAATAAAGTCTCTATTCCCCCGCTGTATAATATCACTTACATTCTGTAACGACTTTGTTCTGTCTCTACATCAACAATAAAACATGTCTTCTGTCTGAATTAAAGACACCATCCTAGACTGTCATTTTCTTCACTTTATTCTTATTCTTATTATTCTAATTCTCGAGATCAGTACATCGTAAAAGTCAAATTGTGTAACTGTATAGACCGTAATATCATCCTTATGCGTTATCGGAGTATAATTTGATTTGCGAGTTAGAAAAATATCCGTCAGTTCAGTTCGGGATATCTCAAACTATCTAGTTTTACAGTCAAGCACTTGCACTGCTAAACAAATGAAGGCTTGGAAAAACATGGATGCTGCAACTTTTCCGTCTGTCTGTGGGTTAAGGAACTCAGAGTTAAGGTCTTGAAGGACAAATCCTGCATCGTAAAGAGCCGTGTAAGTAACGATTGGTGAATGAACTTGTCATTCTCAACAAAACAATGTGTCTGTGTTCTTTTCAGGTCAAACATTCACAGTGATTATCTAAAACGCCAACTCATACCTGACAATTAATCAAATAAAGATGTAATAACTGCGCATTGTGACTGCATAGCTGGGTAAATAAATAATCCTTCACGATAAAAGCGTTTGCTAGTGAAATGTCAACGAGCCACTTTTCCTGCGTGTTTTCGTAAAGTCCTTTGTGCGTGGCTCTTTATTAATCTCTTCACGAGGAATCCTAAAGTATCCTTTATCGGTTTCGTGATTAGATCGCTTAGAAAACTTAAAACAACACACGCAAAAGGCTTGTTCAGACACGCTGCTCTAGTGAATAACTAGCTCGACTGACCACCACTTCGTGATACGCATATGTAATGAGGCGGACGTGACGTCAATTGCAAGCAAGCAATTGGTCCTCCCTGCCGTCAATCATTTTGGTGATACGTGCTCGTCAAATAAGACCAGAGATTTGGTCCAGAGGGTTTGTCCAAAAAGTGGAGAGGAAGGTTCTTCCCTGAAATGTGGTTAAATCTATATACTATATATACCTTTAACACACCAGGCAGTTGTCTTAACATTGGCATTAGACACCTGCCTTACACACAAGGAGAATTCTGGTCATTGTTTACTTTTATATCTGTTTATATATCTGTTAAGCACTTTGCCTTGTGAACTGTGCTATACAAAAAAAAACTGTCTCTCTCTATGGCCCAATAAAAGTGCAAAAATGAGTAAACTGGTCTTGTGTTCGTTCAGATACACTTTCAAGACAACATGCTAAAACATATTCAGGGAAGGTTACATTACATCTTTTTTTTATTCCAATGACAATCTTGTTTTCTCAGCCACAAAAGATTGCAGAAAATCAACGTTGACAGACACAACAATGGCAGACATTTTGCCTCCTCATCTGCATAAATCCAGTTCGACAGCATTGATCACAACATGCTAATAGGGAAAAGGTTTTAGAGGTATTGCATTAAATTGGATCAAATCATATCTAACTAATAGGAAACAATATCTACAAATAGGAGACCATAAATCAACTTACAAGGCAATCCTATGCGGAGTCCCTCAAGGCTCTGTGCTAGGACCTAAATTGTTCTTACTTTACATCAATGATTTATGTTTAATCTCAACAAAATTAAAATGTGTGCTATTTGCAGACGACACAACAATAACATGCTCAGGAGACGATCTACAACAACTAAAAACACTGGTTACCACAGAAATGGAACGATTGAAAACATGGTTTGAAATTAATAAAATGTCACTTAACATTAAGAAAACAAAATGTATTATTTTTGGAAATAAAGATGTCAAATCTGACACTAAATTATTTATTGATAATATAGAAATTGAAAGAGTAAACAAATTTAATTTTCTGGGAGTGACTCTTGAGACTAAGTTATGTTGGAAACCCCATATCACAAACATAAAATCAAAAATAGCTAAAAGTATTGCAATTCTCTGCAAAGCCAGACATTTCCTGGACCAACATTCTCTGAATATATTGTACTCCTCTTTGATTCTGCCTTATTTGAGTTATGGGGCCCAAGTATGGGGACACACATATAAAACTAACACAGATCCACTATTCAAATTACAGAAAAAAGTTGTGAGAATAATTCATAGAGCAGGTTACTGTGAACACACTAAAATGCTTTTTCTCAAATCCAAAATACTAAAGTTCACTGACTTGGTTAATTTTAAAACATTTCAACTATTATATAAAGCAAGGCATCAACAACTGCCAGATAACATACAGTGCATGTTCACTAACAGAGAAGGTAACTATAATGTAAGGAATAGTCAAAATTTCTAAAAACACTTTTCCAGGACAACACTGAAAACAATGTGTATTACCCGATGTGGAGTTGATCTATGGAATGGTCTAAATGATGATTTAAAAAGCTGTGCAAATATCTATATATTCAAGAAGTTATACAAGCAATTAATTTACAAACAATATGCTGATCAAGGGTAAAACTGAAAGCTCAATTTGATTAAATACCAAGGATTAAACTACACCAAGATCTTCCTGTACCAAAATATGACTTAGCCACTGGTGATCATTACAATTATAAAGCTAACCCTGAAAGAAATACATATAAAGACTTGCAATTTCACCATCACTAATAATTAGGATATCAACTTTTGTTGTATACTTGTATCTGTAAACACTCATTTATAGAACTTGTCATTATATATTTCAATGCTACACACATAACATATAGAAGCACCAACAGCTGTCACACAATACACTGAAAGGAGAAAGTCCCCACTTCATCCTACTCCTTTTTGAGCACTTTCAAGCACTCAGTACTGATAGATCTATGTGCTTATTCTTTAAATCATTATTCTGTTTATATGTAAGGGACATGTTCATACTAAGATTGCTCAAATAAAAAAAGAACTAATTACTGGTCTCTGTCTTGTCTCTCTCTCTGGTCTCTCTCTAGTCTATCTTTGGTCGGTCTCTCTCAGGTCTCTCCGGTTTCTGGTGTCTTTCTGGACTCTCTCTGGTTTCTCGCTGGTCTTTCGGGCCTCAGCCCTGCTCCTGTTCCTCAAATAGTGTATGAACGGCTTTTGACAGCTGCAGCAGCGCTCAGACCTACACATATCTCTGTTCTCTCTCAGTTCAACAGTCGTGAGTTCAGGTGGTTAGAAAAGTGTATAAAGTGTGAGTGAGGGGTTTCATAGCTTTAAAACATACAGCTACTACTTGTTAGTTATTTCACTTATTGCAAGTTATTTATGGAACATGACCTCACCGATAAATGAGGAACCAGCTGTATTCTCGTTGCCACCTCAGACACCGGGAGAACAGAACACCGTCTCAGTTCACCCACGCAGTCTTCCCACAGATGAGAGCTCAAACGACTGAATTGGCAACACTGTTGCATAATTAAAATGTTGTATACTAATGATTTTGAAAATAGGCCCTCTGAAGAATGTGCACGGGGAAAAGCCCCAAGGACAAGGATTGCAAACAGGAATAAAGAGGGTCAAATGGAGAAACTACAATCAGTCATAGAGATACCAACTTTCAAAACGGGACAAATTATTAACTCCAGGAATAAACATTCTTGTCTCTCTGGCGAGGCCAAAAGTCCAAAAACACCATCTGGCTAATCTCTCTCAGGCAGACTGGGAGATTCTCCAAAGGCATTCTGACGCCTCCCAGTGGACACGGGACGCCAGCACACCCGAAAAGAACATTCGGGAGACGCCCACAAGTGACGTCATCAGACGTCTTGATAAAACTGTTGGTTTGAGTTCTGGGGGGAAGGTTAGCGCAGGGGGTAGAGGAGAGGGACATATTAGTTTAGGAGCACTTTTTTGTTGAATATTCTGTATCTGATTGTAAAGATAATTAAATGCAGATGTTAAACTTGGATATCTTCGTCTGATTTCTGTACCAAATTGTGGACACGCGAGCCAAAAGGGAGTTATTGGCTTCATTTGGTGACCCCGACGTGATTTGAACACGCAACCTTCTTCAGTAATGCAGGGGATCTGAACTTTACAACAAGGTATAAGATGTCTATATTGATGTGTGAATAAGAACAAGTGACTTGGCATTTATTTTTGTTTTTATCGTGTGCTGTGGTTTTGTGTTTTTATCTTGCAGTGTATTTTAACCTTATTTATAGTTTTAAGGACTCGCTATAGTCACATGTTTTTATCACATGGCTTTTACCCCAATCCCTGCTGCGGGACAATCAAAAGCACCTGTGTCTGGCGGAAATTGGAGCAAATAAAAGGAGCGCAGGAGCCACGACACACACAGAGACAGAGAGGCAGAGAGACAACAAGCACGCAGGAGCAGGAGCAGGAAAGCCGCGGCACCCCACCACAAGCAGGACGAGCAGGACGGCACACGCATCGGGACTACAGCACGCTGAGACCGCAAGTGTTGCGAGGCGATATACACGCAGAGGCAGAGGGGAACTCTGCCTTCCGTGTGAGTACCTTTTGGGGACATAGTAACACTTGTCGGATAAAGTTAGATCGAGCACATCACTGTTTAGAACGTTTGACTGCCGCTAGTGATTTCCGCGTAGGTGTCTCAGCGTGCAGAGGACGAGAGCCAGACGGGAGGAGTCGAGACTAAGTGAAGGAGTGTTGTGACGCTGAACACACGCAGGGGCAGAGGATAACTCTGCCTTGTGTGTAAGTATTGTAGCGACACTCCACCATCGTAGCCTAAGGCCTTATAGTTTCGGACACCCGTACTGGCGTATGCTTTGCATTCTAGGTGGCCCCGTGCGTGTGACCCAGGTTGGAGTGCTGCCCTGGACCAGGAGGGAGTGGGACCTGCCTGCACCTGACTGTGGACCGTGCCTTTTAGTAGTTTAACCTTTTTTTAGCCCACCTTGTTTTTAATGGACTTTTAACAGTGTTTTTATTTGTGGGCATTTTTTTTACTGTTTTAATTATTCCTTGTATTAAATTGTAATAACTTGCCACGACCTTTTTGCCCTCCTTGGTAGACAAGTGTGCTCTCACCCGGTCACTCAATCTCTTTTTTTGCAATAGTTATTTTTCCGGTCAAATTTCATTCCGCTTCCAAACACCTTCATAGCCCCCCCTCGTTACAAAATTTGGCGTTGCTGGCAGGATCTGGGTCTCGAGCACACTTGTTTGCCAGGGAGAAAGGAGCCATGATGATGCCAGTATATCCTGGTGCCCCCTGGCTCCCTAAGTTTAAAGGGCCAGGGGATGACTTAAAACTCTGTGATTGGAAAGAACAAATGGAAGGGTTGTTGGGGTCTCAAGAGCTAACTGAGCCTAGAAGGGTTGCTATTGTGTTGGGAGCATTAGCCGGTGAAGCCAAGCGTCAAGTCAGTGTCCTAGAGGATGACGAAAAAGACACAGCTCGAAAATTTTTTGCGTATCTTTGCTCCCTCTATGGTGACCAAACCCCGACATCTGTTGTTAGGTCACAATTTTTTTGTTGTGCTCAAAAACCGGGTGAAACGGTCCAGTCTTTTGTTTTACGTCTCCGTGAGTTGTATTGCAGGCTACGGCGGCATGGCGACCCCCCCTCCGAGGCAGCCCTGAGAGATCAGCTGCTTCTAGGACTGCGTGAAGGACCAATGACACAGGCGCTAAAAGTGTATGCTCGTCGGCACCCAGATGCAGATTTTGCAGCGCTGCGAGAGGAGGCGCTGTTGTTGGACTCTGAATATGGCAGCTCTGCATCAGAGGTAACGTGCTCCATTGTCAATAATAAGTCTAGTTTTTCAAAGGAACCATATTCGGACTGGAAGGAGACCCTCAAGCGTGACATAATGGAGGAAGTGAAGGCTGAGATGAAGGGATTGGCACAGGAACTAATAAGGGAGCTCAAACCTCACTTGTCACCGGTTGCAACCGCCTCAGAGCCGCCAGTAACACCCCGGAGCTACTACCGATCACCCCCACGCAACCAACGGGATGAACGAGAAACTTGGGAAGCCCTGGCGAGATGCCTTCGCCACCTGTCGCCGCGTTGAAGCTACTGTCGCTGAGGATGGGTTCCTAGGGCACGTGCGGCTGTCTGGTGGGCGGGCCTTCACTGTCCCTCCTAACAGCGAGCTGCTTGTGTGGGGTAAAACCCGGATGGGCCCTGACGGCGCAGACTACTGTGCCCTGGTCGAGGCACTGCCAAATGCTGGCGAAGTGGGTGTGGCCCGAACCATCGGAGTGCACCTAGATGAGGTCTTCAACCGGTTGTGGCGACATGGATTAAAGCTCCGTTCTGATAAATACCAGCTGAGCAGGACGTTATGGACATGGCCCCTAGAAGGTCAAACCGTTCTACTCTTGGACAACCGCCGGCACGGTACAGAGACTGAACTGTTTCTATGTTGCAGGGACTGACAACCTTAGAATGTGGGGGGATGTGAATAAGAACAAGTGACTTGGCATTTATTTTTGTTTTTATCGTGTGCTGTGGTTTTGTGTTTTTATCTTGCAGTGTATTTTAACCTTATTTATAGTTTTAAGGACTCGCTATAGTCACATGTTTTTATCACATGGCTTTTACCCCAATCCCTGCTGCGGGACAATCAAAAGCACCTGTGTCTGGCGGAAATTGGAGCAAATAAAAGGAGCGCAGGAGCCACGACACACACAGAGACAGAGAGGCAGAGAGACAACAAGCACGCAGGAGCAGGAAAGCCGCGGCACCCCACCACAAGCAGGACGAGCAGGACGGCACACGCATCGGGACTACAGCACGCTGAGACCGCAAGTGTTGCGAGGCGATATACACGCAGAGGCAGAGGGGAACTCTGCCTTCCGTGTGAGTACCTTTTGGGGACATAGTAACACTTGTCGGATAAAGTTAGATCGAGCACATCACTGTTTAGAACGTTTGACTGCCGCTAGTGATTTCCGCGTAGGTGTCTCAGCGTGCGGAGGACGAGAGCCAGACGGGAGGAGTCGAGACTAAGTGAAGGAGTGTTGTGACGCTGAACACACGCAGGGGCAGAGGATAACTCTGCCTTGTGTGTAAGTATTGTAGCGACACTCCACCATCGTAGCCTAAGGCCTTATAGTTTCGGACACCCGTACTGGCGTATGCTTTGCATTCTAGGTGGCCCCGTGCGTGTGACCCAGGTTGGAGTGCTGCCCTGGACCAGGAGGGAGTGGGACCTGCCTGCACCTGACTGTGGACCGTGCCTTTTAGTAGTTTAACCTTTTTTTAGCCCACCTTGTTTTTAATGGACTTTTAACAGTGTTTTTATTTGTGGGCATTTTTTTTACTGTTTTAATTATTCCTTGTATTAAATTTTAATAACTTGCCACGACCTTTTTGCCCTCCTTGGTAGACAAGTGTGCTCTCACCCGGTCACTCAATCTCTTTTTTTGCAATAGTTATTTTTCCGGTCAAATTTCATTCCGCTTCCAAACACCTCCATAGACCTCGTTACAGATGGAGCTTAAGTTTGCTGGATAACACTGTAAACTGTTTATGATCTCAAAGACCACAGTGTCTCGGCAAAGCAGGGGGCCACAAAACATGACACAGAGGGCCGTGAACCTTAGTTTGCGCATGCCGGATGTAGACAGATCATGGGTAATTTATTTGGAGCGCCATCTTGTGGTTCATCACAGACCGCATTCAGGGATCGTGACTTTGGCCTCTGGATTAATAATGTACGCTGGAGGATGAATATTCACATCATAACAGAGCTAACAGACTCAAATAGAGACGAAGGCCTCGACGTGACCTCTGTGTTAAGTGCTCACAGTGGATTTGCACCTTACACAACTTTAATATTTCACCAAGCAGAGAGGGAGAAGTATTGCTGTTCCGAGTTGAAGAGATTTGTCTTTATTTCGGGCATTTATTTATCCTGCCATATACAGTATGTATGTAATTTACACTATATATATAGAGATAGTAAAAATGTTATATACAAAAAAACAACTACATTTTCAAATAAAATCTTACACCTCTTAGTAACCTGACAAAAGATGGAATCTAAAATGTCATGTTGAAAGTCAGGAGTGAGATAAAAATGGAAATCAAAAATATAAACGATTAAGTTGGAGAGGAAAGTTGGAGAGGAAAGTAAGTTGGAGAGGAAAGGTGGCAGTTCCTCTATCGCCGATGCGGCGGCTCGTAGCTGTGGTCGCAAGGTCTCTGGTGCTGGTCCCGGCGGCAACCCCCGAACCCGGTGGTGGACACCAGCAGTAAGGGATGCCGTCAGGCTGAAGAAGGAGTCCTATCGAGCCATGATGGTTCGGGGGACTCCTGAGGCAGCTGTCCAGTACCGGCAGGCCAAGCGTGCCGCGGCCCGGGTTGTTGCAGAGGCAAAAACCCGGGACTGGGAGGAATTCGGAGAGTCCATGGAGCATGACTATCGGTCGGCCTCGAAGAGATTCTGGCAAACTGTCCGGCGCCTCAGGAGGGGGAAGCAGTTCTTTGCCAACACCGTGTACGGTGCGGGGGGTGAGCTGCTGACCTCGACCGGGGATATTGTCGGACGGTGGAAGGAATACTTTGAGGTTCTCCTCAATCCCCCCGTCACGTCCTCCGCTCCGGAGGCAGAGACTGAGGATGTTGGGGCGGATACATCCATCTCCCTGGCAGAGGTCACCAAGGTGGTTGGCAGCCTCCTTGGTGGCAAGGCGCCGGGAGTGGATGAGATCCGTCCTGACTATCTAAAGTCTCTGGATGTTGTAGGACTGTCTTGGCTGACACGTCTCTGCAACATCGCGTGGCAATCGGGGGCGGTGCCAAAGGAGTGGCAGACCGGGGTGGTGGTCCCTCTCTACAAGAAGGGGGACCGGAGGGTGTGTTCCAATTATCGTGGGATCACACTCCTCAGCCTCCCTGGTAAGGTTTACTCCAAGGTACTGGAGAGGAGGTTACGGCCGATGGTCGAATCTCGGATTCAGGAGGAGCAGTGTGGTTTTCGTCCCGGCCGTGGAACACTGGACCAGCTCTACACTCTCCATCGGATACTCGAGGGTTCATGGGAGTTTGCCCAACCTGTCCACATGTGCTTTGTGGATTTGGAGAAGGCGTTCGACCGTGTTCCCCGGGGTGTCCTTTGGGGGGTCCTCCGTGAGTACGGGGTCCGGGGTCCTCTGCTGAGGGCCGTCCGGTCCCTGTATGACCGGAGCCAGAGCTGTGTGCGCATTGCCGGCAGTAAGTCAGACCTGTTCCCGGTGCATGTTGGCCTCCGCCAGGGCTGCCCTTTGTCACCGGTTCTGTTCACTGTATTCATGGACAGAATTTCTAGGCGCAGCCAAGGGTCGGAGGGGGTCCGGTTCGGGGACCACAGGATTTCATCTCTGCTGTTTGCAGACGATGTTGTCCTGTTGGCTCCAACGAACCAGGACCTACAACATGCACTGGGACGGTTTGCAGCCGAGTGTGAAGCGGCTGGGATGAGAATCAGCACCTCCAAATCTGAGGCCATGGTGCTCGACCGGAAAAAGGTGCCTTGCCCTCTCCGGGTGGGTGGAGAGGCCCTTCCTCAAGTGGAGGAGTTCAAGTATCTCGGGGTCTTGTTCACGAGTGAGGGAAGGATGGAGCGTGAGATTGACAGGCGGATCGGTGCAGCGTGCGCAGTGATGCGGTCGCTGTATCGGACCGTTGTGGTAAAGAGGGAGCTGAGCCGAAAGGCAAAGCTCTCGATTTACCGGTCAATCTTCGTCCCCTCCCTCACCTATGGTCATGAGCTTTGGGTAATGACCGAAAGAACAAGATCGCGGATACAAGCGGTCGAAATGAGCTTCCTCCGCAGAGTGGCTGGGCGCTCCCTTAGAGATAGGGTGAGGAGCTCAGTCACACGGGAGGAGCTCGGAGTAGAACCGCTGCTACTCCACGTCGAGAGGAACCAGTTGAGGTGGCTCGGGCATCTGTTCCGGATGCCTCCTGGACGCCTCCCTGGGGAGGTGTTCCGGGCACGTCCCACCGGGAGGAGGCCCCGGGGAAGACCCAGGACACGCTGGAGGGACTATGTCTCTCAGCTGGCCTGGGAACGCCTTGGGGTCCCCCCGGACGAGCTGGAGGAGGTGTGTGTGGATAGGGAAGTCTGGGTGTCTCTGCTTAGACTGCTGCCCCCGCGACCCGGCAACGGATGAAGCGGAAGAAAATGGATGGATGGATGGAGGAAAGTGATGTGTCGTAACAGGGTTAGACGTGTTGCTAAGACGGTTGCTAAGGCAAGCTGGTGTTTCCCCCGCAAAAGAAGGTATCCGATTGGTCAATTTATATAAGGATCAAATATAGACTTACAACGACATTATACAAACACTAGGATCCCAGAGAGCACTAAATCATGGATTTTAAAGCTCAAAATGGTGAGTGAGACACATACGGTTGCTGAGCTAGAGGAGTTTACTTTTACCTGTAAGTTAATGGCGAGTTGGAGCAAAACTTTGTCCATGACCACTTGGCTTCACTGAGCTAGCGGGTTAGCATTGCCCATTTATATACAGTCCAGTCTATGCTTCTACAGTATGAAACCTCAGCTTGCACTTTTGAAAACTTCTGAATGCCTTGAAGTAACAGTGTATGAGAGAGACGGGTGTTATTAGCTCTGCACCTATATGCTTTTCCAAATGTGAATAATTGGCGGTAAATTACAGTGGGGTAATTGTACAGATGGTAGGAGCTGGTAAAGAAAAGCGCTCATGCAGGATGTGTACAAGTGCAGAATAACGAATTGAATCAGACAGCCAGTGAAGCAAAGAGATGATTAATCCATGTTGGGAGTAACGGGGGTTTTCATTAGCGGCCGTATAGCTCTAGAGGACCGGTTAGCGTGGCAAAACTAGCACATTTATCTTCATATCAGGCTTCATACGGGGAGAACGTGGAATAGATCAATGCTGCAATGTGAAGCTAAGGCCTGCTAGCAAACTGAGGCCCCCCATGGACGTGGAGGTTGGCTGCTGTAAGCTATCCCATGATGCAAAAGGGGGCACAGCGGTATGTTGTATCTCTGATCTGCTGTTGTATGCGTATGTAAAAAGGAACATGTTATTGCAAATGTAGTCCGATAAAAGATTTGTTTGGGAATGGTGATGTATAAGGAAAGTCAGTTAGAAAGATATATCTACATGTGAAAGGCAGATCCTGTCAGACCTCTGGAGGGCAAGGCCTGGTCACTCACAAGTGTCTTTCTGGTCTCTCTCTGGTCTCTGTATGGTCTCTCTCTGGTTTCTCTCTGGTCTCTCTTTGGTCTTTTTCTCACTGGTCTCTCTCTCATTAGTCTCTCACGGCCTATCTCTCTGGTTTTACTCACTGGTCTCTCTCTCTCTCTCTGGATCTATCTCTCTGGTCTCTCTTTCTCTTACATCTCTGTCTGGTCTCTCTCTGATCTCTCTCTCTCTTGTCTCCCTCTGACTTCCCTCTGGTCTTGCTTTTGTCTCCCTTTGGTCTCTCTCTCTGGTCTGTCTCTGGTCTTTTTCTCTCTGGTCTCTCTCCCTCTCTTTCTGGTATGGCTCTGGTCTCTCTCTGGTCTCTTTGTCACTGATCTCTCTCTTGGTCTATCTCTCTTTCTGGTCTTTCTCTCTTCTCTGACTATGTCTCTTCCGATACCAAAGTCTCGCTTCAAACAGACGCAAATGAATGAGAGCTATTTTTCACAGAGCTACGGTTATTAATTTGATGTTCCGCCCTAATAATGAGCCAGCCAATCACTGACCTCCCTGATCTCCAGAGTAATTACTTTCACTTCAGAATGTCCCCCAAGTATTTTACGGTCTTCTATTTTACGGTTAAAAAGGTGTGACCGTAAATTAGCAGCCACTGGGAGATGGCACCTCCATGTCACGCCGTGTCAGCTCCGGTTAGCTGCAATGAGGGTGACTGCTGCCGGGAACTGGACTCTTATGATTTGGATGGCTGCATTTTGGGATGAGCGTCTAGTATGGCAATGTTTGGACAAGAAACAATTACTAAGTTCTTGTTGCTGTCGTGTATTGTCGCGCGTGTAATTATGAAACAGAATCGGACATATGTAGCCATGTTTTGGAGTTCTGGATGAAAGAGCAGCGCAATTCCAGAGATGTGTCAAAATGTACATGTATCTATTCTAGCCATGGCTGGTCAAATGTGTTTCTTTAAAGAATAGGCATGTTTACTATGTTTTATTGTCTGTCCAAGTATACACCAAAAATAAGGCTAGATGCCCCGGTATACATAGAAAGATCAGAGGCCCCAGTATACATCAGAAATATGGTTAGATGACCTAGTACACACCAAAGATAGATCACCTAGTATCCATCAAAATATGTTCCATCAAGTGTTTATGACCAAGTATACATAAAAAGAAGGTTAGAGGCCCCAGTGTACATAGAAAATAGGGTGGAGGCCACACAAACTATTCAAAAGCTTTTTCTCTCTTTTTATTTCACTAATATAAAATGTATAACATTAAACACTAAGACTTACAGGGCAAAAAAAGAACTGAAAAACTATTTATAAATCACCTGTAGCACTTGTTTCATAATTCTGATCTATTTGAGCTGCGTTCATCTGTCTGATCTAACAGAATCATTTAAGCGGCTAATCTACGAAAATCACATTAAAGATTATAGATTTGTCCTTACCTTTTCTTCCACTTCATCCGGTGCCGGGTCACGGGGGACTTCCAGACTTCTCTCTCCTTACACTTCCTCCAGCTCATCTGGGAACACACCACACAGCAGTCATTAGTATACATGCAATATCTCTTTTAACAAAATATACAGTTTTGTCTGTCCATGAGTCATTTGCAGTCTGTTCTTAGTGCAACACTTATTATTTAACCCCACATTGCCTGAAGCACCCGCTGAAAGACCAAGGCCATGTCTTCGATCATGGAGAAGCCATCATCCCGTGGACTCACCACCTGCAGGAGGATCAGCGAGGGACTGGTGCAATGAGACTTGGGTGGCAGCCCCCCGACCCAGAAATGGAATAATAAAGGAGTCGAAAATGACATGACATGATGACAAATTTAAAATGGTTACACAGTCAAAATACTATAAAATAAATATCTTGAATCTATACAGAACTTAAACAAACATTGATATCTCTATTGCTGTTTTTACTGTATGTATTGCTCTGAGCTCAAACAAGATAAGATAAGATACGATAAGATGTGCTTTATTTATCTCACAGAGGAGAAATTTACATGTCACATTTGGCATGGATAGAGACACTCAGATTGTGCAAAAGGAGGAAATGTGCAAACATGTTACTGTACATGCAGGATATATGTACAATAAAAGTGACAATAATTATGTACAACAAAAGTGACAAGTGTCAATTGGAAACAGTGTCAATAGTAGTGCAGGTTTTCACACAGTGATCATTTAAAGTGACTTATTGTACAGTCTGACAGTGGTGGGGATAAAGGCCCTGCGGTAGCGCTCCTTCCTACACTGAGGGTGCCTCAGTCTTCCACTGGAGGAGCTCCTCAGCTCCTCTACAGTCCTGTGCAGTGGGTGGGAGGTATTGTTCATGATGGAGGTGGCTTTGGCTAGCACCCTCCTGTCCCTCACCTCCTCCACAGAGTCCAGGGAGCAGCCCAGAGTGGAGCTGGCCCTCCTGACCAACAAACAATATGAAGTGAAAAAAAAACCACACTACTATATTTATATGTTTTGCAATTAAAACATAGACCTTTTCTGTAAAAAACTGTGAAGACTTGCTGATTACTATTAGTTTTGGCAGCAGAATTGAACCCAACAAAAACTAGGCACATGAACTTACTAAAATAGCAGTGTTGGAGTGCCCTCTGCTTGTTGGAGTTGGAATGGCACTCATAAACAGCGGTGACCAGAACATATTTTGGCATCTATCCTGTTAATTTACATATTGAAGTCAGTGAACAGTGATTATTATATGTTTGTCTATATTCAAGTTGTTGTTTTTATCCTAATGTATTATAAGGAAATTTTATGTGTCTGAATTTAGATTTGATAATGAAGCCCCCAGTTTATATCAGAAGTGATGATTCAATTATTTCTATTACGCCTTTTAATTCATTTATTTCATTAAGAGTTAGTTACAGAAACATAAGTACCAGTGTACCTTACAATTTCTCATTACTAACTTATCAAGACCAGGTGAAATATTTGCAGCAGCTGGAGGAGGAGGTCGACCACTTGGATCAGCAACTTGAGCAACACAAGGCGATGGTGAGAGCTCCTTTAGCCAATTTTGCATTGGAGATTCACGGGGCTCGGGTGATGACTGCTGAGACTTCCAAGACTCACGAGCAGAAAAATGGCCCGCCTTGGCTCAAACCTCTCGGTCCAGACACTGTGTTCAAAGGTCATAATTACCCTTTGATTCCTGGACAGTGCTGGGCGTTCACAGGTCAGACTGGGAGGCTTTCCATAGCTCTACCTCTGGAGATCCACATCACCAAAGTGACTGTAGGACACATTCTGAAGGAGCAGTCTCTTACAGGAACAATACAGTCGGCTCCAAAGTCTTTCTCTGTGTACGGACTGAAGGACTTTGGACCAACAGAGGTAAGACTTGGAACGTTTCTCTACGACGCAGACGGGGACTCGTTCCAAACATTTGACATCCTGGAGCAACAAGGGTGAGACTTTCCGGTCCGTGAGGTTAGAGATTCACAATAACCATGGACACGATGCATTCACCTGTGTATACAGCTTCAGGGTACATGGGGGAATCCCTGATTCCAGCACCAAAACGTCCACAGAGTTGACATACAGCTGGTTTGGAAGGATAGCACACCGCTTCTGCCAATCAGCTAGGGCATTGTAAAATCTCATGAGTTTCACTCAGAGGTGACCGCCAATGACTCAGGACACACCCATAGAGCCAGAAATGCCAGCAGGAACTGTCCCACATGTGACAGAGATTCAAGCTGACTTAAATCTCTGTCTTGCCATGTCCCCATCATCTAGATGGAGACAGGGCGAGTGTTAGGGTTAATTCGGATGGTTTCTAACTTGTTTATGGGCACAACTTATTTTTGTTTAATTTTCTTAAGAGACTTTTTTATCAGTTGTAGATTCCATTGAAGAGAGGGGTATGACTTGTTCTTGCCCAGCTCTGTAGGAGATTGACAGCTGTGTAAAGGTGACTTAAGAAATAAAACAAAATAAGATGTGCTCCATGTGACGTTACAACCACAAGACCCAAGACCTGACTTGAAAGTCTTCCTCTGGGTCTCGCTCGAGAAACTACACGTGAGGTAGATCTATGTGTGCGCTGGAGCGAGACAAGGGCGAGAATTTCCGGTTTGTGAGGTTCGACATCCACAAAACTATAGGCAGAGTAAATTCACCTGTGTCCATAGCTTCAGGGAACATGGGAAAATCCTTGCTTCCATCACCAAAACGTACACGAGTCGAGACGCAACTTACTTGAAGGGGGTGCGCAACGACTGTACAGCTGAGACATTATATTATTTCATGAGATTTTCTCTCAGGTTACGTCAATGTCTCAGAACAAACCCAAAGAGCTAGACAGTAGCTCTGAGATTCCAGCAGGAACTGACCCACACGTAACAGTGACTTAAGCTGTATCAGGATGGGGACAGGGCGAGGGTAGGGTTAAGTCGGGTGTTTTATCACTTGTTTATGAGCACAACTTATTTTTGTTGTTTATTTTCTTAGATGACCTTTTTTTATCAGCTGTAGATTCCATTGAAGAGGGGGGTGTGACTTGTTCTTGCCCAGCTCTGTAGAAGGAGATTGACAGCTGTGTAAAGGTGACCTGAGAAATGAAAGTGTTCCATGTGACGATTACAACCAAGACCCCGGACCTGACCCGAAAGTCCTCCTCTGGGTCCTGCTGGAGAAACTAAAGCACAAGTGAGCTCACTCCTCTCCAGCCCAGTGGACGCTGCCTTCAACTGTCCCCAGCTCCCCTGCACCCACAGCCCCCACCATACGGACTCCTCCAGCAGCTGTCCCACCCCTGACAGTAGTGGCTCAAGGGTGGGACGGTCAAAAAAACATTGAAAATGACTAAATTTGCGCATACTTCAATTTGAAAATGGCAAACAAAAACCTTATTTGTTTTCTGTTTTTGGATTTGTCAGCGTTCTAGGACTTTGAAAATCTGTGAATCGTTTGATCATTGGTTTTGTCAGGGATGAAACAGACAGAGACGGATTGTGTTGCGCCAAACTCTGGAAGTTTATTTAAGTTTCTCTCAAGTTCCAGTGGTTTCCATTGTTTCTTTCTCTCAGACAGAATGGAGTCAGTACACAGTTTATATAGTTATTGTCACGTCACACATTGAAAGACATACGTGTCACACAGAGACAGTCACATCAAAGTCAAAATAATCAGAGTCCTTGTAGAGTCCTGTACGTAGGCCATATTGCTATCTAATACTAACAGTTTCTCTGTTTCAAAATAAAAATACTAATAAAATAAATGAATAATACTCAATCAATTACTGTTTGTTTTCTTGTGTTTGAATATAATTGTAAATGTTCAAATAATAAAATATTTCACCTTTTTACATACATTGCTAAAACAACTTTCAGTAAAAGAAAACTCATCGAAGACTTTCAATTCAATCAATGTCAGTCAAATACAAGAGTTTTTTGTCGCAAATAAACCAACTCGGACTCTGAGGAGCACAGGGACTGGCCCCCTGCTGGGACTCTGAGGAGCACAGGGACTGGCCCCCCTGCTGGGACTCTGACAGGACTCCTCCCAACTCCTCCCTCCTTCCTCCCACCATCTCTCTCTCTTTCGTTCCATCTCTCTATGTCTCCCCTTCTCTCTCTCTCCCCTCTCTTTCTCGTCAGTTACAGTTCTTTGGTTTCACGTGGACAGCGCAGAAATGCCAACTGTCACATTAACCCACGCCAAGACACCTCTGTCATCGCGGCAACGAGACGGATTCGCAGAAGGAGTGAGACGAGCCGGATGTCAAGTTTAGAGTCCGGCGGAAAGAAAAGCAACAATCCGACTATCTTGCTCAAAGACGCTTCACATGTCATTGTTCCTTCACTCCATTCATGGTGTTGCTAAACTACTGCTTGTCACAGCTGCCCTCGGGCAAACTGACAGAAGCGAGGCAATCAGTCTGTGACATCTCCAAAGGCCACCAACCATGCATACACACCAGACTTATTCTAATGTGGGTGAAATGTCTTGCCTAAGAACACAACAGCAGTTTTGCACTGTACAGCCGCAGCCACTCCACCTTGGCACCTGATGTTCCCAGAGGTCTACCATCACAATGCTAACCAGACCCTTCCCTGCTTAGCCTAAGAAATCTGCTGCAATCTGGCTTTCTCATGCAGGTTGTGCCAGCAAAAAACTGACCAAGATGACCAGATGCTTTCATTTGCAATGCAATTTCAGCTTGTCCTAGAAACATGTCTGCCCATATAAGGAAATTGGCTCGAGCTAGCTTCTGCTGCGTCCAAATTGGTAGGCACCGTCCCACGAAGGGTGGATATACGTACTGTAGTCATCAAAGGAAGGTACCTTCAGAGCCCCGTAGGCATCAGGCGAGGTAGGCAGCGAGACCTGAGGTGAATTTGGACAGCAGCTGCCTTCGTTGCCTTCATCGCAACTCAACTCAGAGCGGTCTATGGGAAGGACACAGCGGCCATGATGGAACCTAAAAAGTTTAAAATACGCTTTAATTAGGACATAAAAATTAATTCTACTATCATTTGAGGTGAGAAATATCCCCCTCTATTGTCATATCAGAGGTCTGTTCGGTGATAAATTTAAAATTTTCGGACTTTTCCTCCGGTGCGGACCTCCGGTGCTATAAGCTAACAGCACAGTTAGCTGCAGTGCCGAAGCCCAGAACAGAGCTCTAAACGCGGGGACACATTTAGAGAGCTCCCCTGATGTTTACAAACTTAATTCTGAAAACCTAAAGACAAGGATTTTGTTACAGACTTTCTCTTAAAAACATGTGTAACAAAGCGCAAGGCAGGCTGTACAATCTTAAGTCTTCTCACATATAATCTAGTCATTGTGTTATAAGAGTCATTGTTCATCGCTATTCCCACGACTGTGAGGACCAGGGTAATGTCTGAAGTGTTATCCAAGCTCTGTACCCCTTGGACGGCTGCGTTCATTGCAGCCCCCGCTGTTAGCTTAACGCTATGGAGCTCCCCCCTGCAGAACAAGTCCGAACTTTTTGTTGTTTACAGCTCAACAAATCACCGAAATTACCATAAAGGGTCATATTTCTCGCCTCAAATGTTGTTAAAAGTAACATTTGTGCCATATTTATTGTATTATTGATCAGAACTATCCTCTCAGATGTGGTTCTGTTGATACCAGAGTGATGAGCTCCACTGTCATCACTATAACAGCTGCTTAGCTAATCCTCCATCCATCCATCCATCCATCCATTTTCTTCCCCTTATTCCTTAAAAAATTTGAAACCATTGAAAATAGTTTACACTCAAAATAAGAGCAATACTAAGCCACGAAAAGCTCCTGTGTGTGCGTTTTCCCGCATCGCACATTCTATTTGATAGGAGAAAATGTTTTAGATTACAGATTACAGATTACATTGGGTTTAGTTCAGTTTGGTATAGTTTAGTGACACCTAGGGGATAAAGGGGTCAGTGCAGAGCGGGCTTTCATGCACTTGCAGCCCCTGGTTTTATAACGGTTCAAAGAGATGCAGCTATGCACTTTATATTTTGATTGGACATTCTTTTGTTATTTTTTACTGTGCTAACCACATACCAATGATGCATTCTAGTGAATATTTGAGTTTGTGTGGTCATAAGTTTGGTACCATTTTGTTTTGTGACGGTTTGACAAATAGTCACCGTTATTCTATTGTATCTGTTAACTATTCTGGCACTTTGGCGCAGAGAAAGGGTTAATTTTGTTTTTTTTAATATATTCCACCATGTCAGAGAAAACATATCTTTACATTAATTGTCAAAAAACAATTATTACTTTAACAGATGGCACAAAAATACAACTTAATACAACGCTAGTTATATCTACAAAAACAGCAGAAGCAGGTGTTGCTAACCAGCTAGCGTTAACGTTAATGGGTTAGCATCAGGTTAGCATAAGTTACAGTAAATAGTTAAAACGTCAAACAAGTGCGTTAATCTTTTCAGAATTAATGTAGGTTAATACATCCGTGAGAATTACTCTAAACATATCAAAACAATATTTTGAATACTATTTATGAGTAATAGTGAATAGAACAAGTACATTTTATAAATGAGTTAACTAGACAGATCCGTGGACAGAACGTACCCACCACAGTGCAGCCAGCTTGAGCCACTGACCACGGATCTATTATGCACTAACCGCTGCCTTTTTTCTGATATTGCCTGGACCTTTATTCTCATTAATAATAAAAAAATATTATAATCATATTGTTAGACTATAAATAGCACACCCCTATATGTTTATTTGCTTGTTCTTTGCATGGTCATACACATTTTGACATAAAAAAGGCATTCAAAAAAAGGTCAAGGCTACAAAAACAATGTAGCTTATGTCAGTAATGTACATGCTTTAACATAGATATAAAAAACACTATTTTGACCGAAGGGATTAGGCTGAAGTATAACTTATTTTTGCAAAATTCCTGAGGGGTCTTCACTCGCTTTAATGCACTAATGTAATTTATGCATGCCTTTTATGATTGGTTTTGTTCGATCCTGTTTTGTTAAGCGCTTTGAGTTGTCTTTGTATGAACTGTGCAAAAATAAACTTGCCTTGACTATTACACCTCAAATAATAAGACTTATATATGTGTTTTCTCTCAGACATGTTTTTTGCATTATGTTATCTACAAACCTAGATCCATGCTACAAACCCGTTTTTTTCCTAAAGTAGTTTATTTACCGTGACGATATTTGGACGTCCTTGGTCACATGTTTAAATTTCACCTTTAACTTTCATTCAACCAACCTCTGTTGTTACCTCAGCTGCTGCGCGTGCTCTGATTGGTTAGCTGCAGTGGGCGTTTATTTCTCTGTTCTGTGATTGGCTGGTTCGCCCTGTCTCCGCTATCAGGGTAGTGTGGTTTCTCAGCGTGTTCTACAAGGAGCTTTTCCACCGTTCTGACCCAGACTTGTGTGGTTCTAACAGCACCGATGGCGAGCTGGTGTGTGCGTGCAGTCAGACAGAGCTGCTCTCTCGTAGCCTCGCCTGCGTTTGCCCGGTAAGACACTCTAAATTCACTTATAATGTTAGGGTTTAAGGCCGAGAGACACTTACATCATGATGTGAAGCTAGCATCATTAGCAGCTACAGCAGAGCAAGCCTACCTTACAACCCTTCATTTGTAAGTTGTGTTGTCCTCTAGTAGTTATGCTCGTAGACAAAACATTCTCACATGTCAAAGTCATGTCTAATATTTTCCTTGTTTTAATAATACAGGGCTATGGATGATGTAAGACTATGAAATGTGTTATAACACTATCCCAAAGGAGTCTTGTGTAAGGAGAGGCTATTTACTCCCATTCATGATGACTGTTGATGTTGTAGTAAAGATAATGCATATATTTACTATATATCATGACATCAATCAGATTCAGATTCATTTATTTTCCATTTGCAGTAAAACCACATTGGAATTCATTAGCAACAGTCCCCAGTGTGCACAAGTACAGACCTAAAACAACATTAAAAGTACAGAAAAACAAACAAATAAAATAGTAAAACCATTGTCACTGTGAAAACGATCGGCTAAAACAATTTCAATACAAAGTACAAGATCATTAAAGTGCTCTGTTCAAACTTATGACAGCTTATGGGAAGAAGCTGTTGGCATGTCGAGATGTCCTGCATCTCACAGAACGATATCTTCTGCCAGAATGAAGAAGCTGGAACATGGCTTTCCCAGGGTGGCCAGAAGAGTCATTGATCATTCTAAGAGCTCGGTTTAAAAGTCTGGATTTATAAAAAACCTCCAGAACAGGAAGCTCACAGCCCACGGTCCTCTTTGCAGAGCGGAGCACCTTGTTTAAAGCTCTCTTTTCTTTATCTGTGATGTTTCCAAACCACACAGACACAGAACCAACAAGTAAACTCTCAATGGTGCAGCGATAAAAGTTAAGCAGAATCTTAGAGTTAGTGGTAAATTCTAGACGCTGACGCTGACGAGCTTTCTTAACGACCTGGTCACCCATTTCAGGTCATTAGACAGAGTTAAACCGAGAAACGTGCACTAAAATCTGTACTTGGGAGTTGTCGATAGCAACAGGAGTGTGAGAACTGTTACGACTGAAGTCGTAACAGTTCACATGTTTTCAATGCGTTCAGCTGGAGGTTTTTAGCTTTACTCTAACTCCACTGAACCACATTTTGGATCTCTGCTCTGTAAGAGGATTCATTGTTATTACTGATGAGACCGAATATCATGACATATCGAATGATGTCATGATATTGGGGAGTAGTTGATCATTTGTCAATGAAGTGAAGATGAAAACTTATTTATATTAAGTTAAGCCCATGTCCAGGTCATGAATGTTGTCGCCACATGTGTCCTATGTTACTGGATTGGAATACATTTGACAGCTTACCCTAACCCACTGAAACTGTTTCTTTTCTATTAGAAAATGCAAATTGCCTCAATTTTTTTCACTATTTCCATCAGATTAGACCTTCTCTTATTGGTCCTTTGGGTCAGAGTTAAAAGAAACAAAGTGTGGGAGACTGTGCCAGGTCCAACATATCTCTTTGAGCTCATTACCAGGCTCCCTTAGTACTGGTACTTACCCCCAGTATACAGTTCTTGATGCACACTGAACTGGACCCTTGCACATATGTGATTATGGTTGGTGTGCTATTAAAAGACTTCCATGACACATAAATCCTCATCTATGTTTACAATAATGGAAGTAGATGCATTGTGATGAGAAAAACCTGCCAACTCTGTGTTAAACGAGCTAAAAATATTGTTAAATCCTTAAAAACTTTCATTATCATGGGGGAGGGGAGGGGTTTTTGTAATCTGCATTAAATGGTTATGGGGAAACACGCTGCAGTAATAATTAATGAAACAAAATGAATTAAACTACTGCTGTGATTACACCAGAAATAGCTTGAGTCTTTAATTCATATATTGTTACAATAAATCTTTTGAACATTGCCTTAAAGCTTGGGTCTGTGTGTTGTGTGTGAGCAGAGCATCTCCACGGTTGTTATGCACAGCAACGCAGCAGAAGAGCGGAGAAGAGGAGGCCGCAGAGCAGAGCGCCGCTGACAAGGCCCTGCAGGAGGAGAAGGGCAAACTGGAGGAACAGCTCAAAAAGATGACCGTAAGTTACAGACTTCCATCTGCACTTCATCTCAACTATGGGGTTGACTTAAAGTGGTTCTCACCCCCGCTCCTCGGAGCTTACGTCACTCACATTTCCTGTTCAAATCTTCCTCTAAATGGGCGTAGCCTGGAGGACTAAAGGGGGCGTGAACGAGACTGGGCCGTTTATATTGCTCTGGGCGGGGGGCTGCTGACGTCAGGTCTTGCTGCAGACGTCAGGTCTTGCTGCAGACGTCAGGTCTTGCTGCAGACGTCAGGTCTTGCTGCAGACGTCAGGTCTTGCTGCAGACGTCAGGTCTTGCTGCCGCGCCAGTGTTGGCGCCAGATTCAAAATTCAAATGTAGTAATACAGGTCGCCAGCAGATGGCGCCTCACAGACGGTTTTAGGCAGAAAGTCTAACTTTCAACTAATTTGCACCAAAGTGACAAGATTATGACCAGGATATGTAGACAACACTATTGGACACTCATTTATACCGTTTATTAGCAAAAAAAAGTGGATTTGAGGGTGAGTTGTCCTTTAAGGAGTAGTGGATTGACTGAAATAGCCTTGACACGGAAGGAGCTGGAGCCATTTTTCCTTTTTGGCATTTGTTTCGAATGTGTTCGCTTTGCGCAATTACAGGGGGAGATGTGTGGCTAAGACTATGGCTAAGTCAAAAAGAATATCACAATGTAAACACCAGATTGTAGCAGGTTCTAAACCAGATTTTATAAGCCTAAAACGGTGTGACACAAACTGTTTCTGAGCCAGAGGAAAACACATGTGAGCCAAGATGGAGGGATCTGTAGAAAAATATCATCCATGAGCACTCCCTGATTGGGCTTCTTTGAGCTAGCAGGTTTGCATTATCTGGCTGTATACAGTCTATGCTTAAATGATAGCTTTGAAACCACAACATATGAATTCTGTAATAAAATCAATGCAACTAGTTACTCACTTCCAAAGTGGGTTGCTTCTGTCACTACTTCTCACATTTTTAGATCAGCATTTTCAGCAGAAATGAGAGTAATCAGCCAATCAGCTCTCAGAATGCTCAAAACATCATATTTTCTAAAAAGATAAAGGACTGCATATTGTGATCTGATTTCTTCACAAAACAAGAATTTATATTGTGACATACAAAATGTATTTATGAAACAAAAAAGTTGGTTACTACAGATTTAATAATAATAATGCATCGGTTTTATAAAGCGCTTTTTTGGACACTCAAAGACGCTACATGTCATTATTCTTTCACTCCATACACGGTGGTGATAAACTACTACTGTAGCCACAGCTGCCCTGGGGCACACTGACAGAAGCGAGGCAACCAGTCTGTGCCATCGGCCCCTCCGACCACCGACCACCAACAACCATTCACACACACCAGACTCATTCTAGGCAATGGGGGTAAAGTGTCTTGCCTAAGGACACAACGACAGCAGACAGTGGGAGTTGATGGTGAAGGTCAGGCTCGAACCCACGACCCTCTGGCTCAAAGGCCCAGATAGTATTTCCAGATTATTACTTTTTTATTGTTGCGTATTTATGAATGTTTTTCTCTAACTATTAATTTCAAGCACAGAATGGGTCACTAACTAATGACATTTAGAGACATTTCCCTGTTTTCATGAGACTAAGGCTATATCCACACAAAGACAAAACGCTTATAATTTCAGAAACTTTTTCTGTAAACACGGAGTTAGCTCAGTAAATGTGTGCGTCCATATGAATGTAGTCAATACGCCTGAAAACGCTGTGAAACTATGCCAGACCTGTTGGTGGCGCTGTGACGCAATGACGGGATCAAGCCCAAACTTCCGTGACGGGAACTGGGCATGCGCAGAATTTTGTAAACAGACAACATGGCGAGTGGGCGAGCTGGTACTACATTAGTATGGACGGACGATGAGGTTGAACTGTTGCTTCGGGTCACACTGGATTACAAAACCAACAAGCTACATTGTTGTTGTCATTATTTTCTGAGTGCGGCGCATGCGTGCTTTAACAAGAGGCGGGGCGATGACGCAAGCGTCTCAGATACATTGCGGAGAGGCAGTAACCACGGAGCGGCATATACGGAGTTTTGAAATCTTTCCACTCTGGGACCTAGTTTCAAAAATTTTCGTTTACACCCCCCCAAAACGCCGACCTCGTATGGACGATACACTGGATTGATAAAGTATTTTTGCGTTTAGGCCTGAGCTTGACTTCGTGTGGACAGGGCCTAAAAACTGTATAATTTTGATTTATTCCTAATTTGTTATTTTTCTCATAAATCCTCATCTCCAGCAGCAGGTAAACTAATGGCTTTGTTTGTTTACAGGAGAAATATACGCGAGCTTTAGCAGATACTGAAAACCTGAGGACGAGGAGTCAGAAGATGATAGAAGACGCTAAAATATACGGTAAGATCGCCACTACGTTTTCTTGCCACTAGATGTCAGTATATGCTACATTTATAAAAGTATTTACTGACAGCAGGTGGTTAATATGACTATTATTGTGTTGAATTCTTTTGGTTTCTTGAACATTAGGCACAAGTGTTAGGCGACTTGTGTAAAATGTAGATTTACATGCACTCAAGTAAACAGTGAATTTGAGGAAAAGTCAAATTGATTACATTTAATTGCAGTCACATGATGAAGAGCTATTCACCATTTTGTTGTTGCTATAGATCATCTGTATCTGTGGACTGAACATTTTTTAATTATTATGTATTTTTAAGTGAGGGTTTGAGTAGAAAAACAAAGTCAATGTGAAATCTCCTGCTTTAGATTTCCATAGTATTTATGTTTAAACCTAATTATTATAATTAGTTAAGATCCCAAAAGCTCAAAAAATGTGGGATAGTTGTTGACTAAAAATACTCATATTTTATGTATATTTCATGTTTGATCTCTGATCGCACTTCAGCAGTTGGAGTTCAGGTGGTTGGAAAAGTGTCTAAAGTGTGAGGGGTTTGACAGACTTAAAATATACAGCTGCTGCTTTATTGCTTATTATTAGAACACATAACCCCTGACCAGTGTCTTCTCCCTTCTAATCCTGGCAGGGATCCAGGGCTTCTGTAAGGACCTGCTGGAGGTGGCCGACATCCTGGAGAAGGCCACCGAGAGCGTGCCCAAGGAGGAGGTGACGGCGCAGAACCCTCACCTGAAGAACCTGTACGACGGCCTGGTGATGACCGAGGTGCAGATCCAGAAAGTCTTCACCAAACACGGCCTGGTCAAGATCAACCCCGACGGACTCAAGTTCGACCCGTACGAGCACGAGGCCCTGTTCCACGCGCCGATGGAGGGCAAGCAGCCGGGGAGCGTCGCCATCGTCACCAAAGTGGGCTACAAGCTGCACGGGCGCACGCTCCGGCCGGCGCTCGTGGGCGTGGCCAAGTAGTTTTATATAAATAATATTTATGTATGTGTGTGAGAGAGGAGGAGAGAGAATGGAGCTAGCAAGTTTTCTCAATAATGAAAAATGTATGTTAAAAGTTTAAAGCTGGTATATTTTAAAATACCTTAACCCACAATCTTTAGTCAAGCCTTGTCTCTTACATGTGTGCTCTTTCTGCTAGCGCTAATACAAATGCTTTAATAGGGGCAATAAAATGCAAATTTCATAACCTTTTATTCTTGTTCATGTTGCTGTTTTAGAACAATGGATGCAGGTTTGAACTATTTATGCACCAGATTTCACGAGTCTTTTATTCTGTTATGTGCGAGAAGTCCGATTGCGCTCCCCTCTGTTTAATAATGCATCAGTTTCATGTAGCACTTAACTTGACAAAGCATTGATATGTAAATCAGTGACTTATGATGTCACCGTGTCGTACTGTTGTTGCTTAAAGGAGCAGACCGCAGAGTCATTTCACAGGACTAAATAGTATTGTACTCTCAAGGTCAGGGATGATCCTGTATGACAGATAGCGCGTTTATGCAACTTTGCAACTGCATCTCGCTTGCATATTAAGATTGAAAGATTCTTTATTCGTCCCACAGTGGGGAGTTCTCAGAAAAGGCTGTGATATTTACATGTTCCTCTTGTGTCTGGTGACGCAGATATAAGATCTGAAACTTTTTTATATGCCTATTTAAACTTCTAATGTGTGTTTTTTTGCCGTTATTTTGATGAAAACTTGTGTGAACTTTGAGCTGTTCCATCTGGACTCTGTATTACCCCCTGTGAACGACGGGGAACTGTGGATGTGGCGCCCCGTCATCTGACCGCCCCCCACCTGAAGGTGCCTCACGTCGGCTGAACTCTGGACACTCATCCAACTGTTTTAGACAATTTAGAATAACATATTTAACTTGTTCATCATTCCAGCCCACATTATTTAGGCCAATCTTTGGAGTTCGAGTGTAAAATATGTATCATGTTCAGGTGCACAAATAAATACATATGACTCATTTATGTTTCTATGTTGTGTTAATAAATGGGCTGGGCAACTGGGTGTTCTGGAAATGAGGCTAGAGTGGTCCGAAGCTTTTAGTTAGGTCACTTAAGTTAACAAGGCTTGTCCAGCGGCTGAAAACCTAAAACGGTTTTGGGTGGATTTTAGCTGAAGTTGGCTGAATGACATGTTTACCATCTCACATCAGCACCATATATGGAATGTTGTGAGCCTATCAAAAACAAATGTAAAGTCAAAAGCATCAAGGTAAAACATGACTGGAGTTGGCTGGATGAAATTGAATGAAATCTTAAACTACTAAATTAGCAAGGCAGAAGGACGTATTGTGTGGGAAAGGAGTTGGAGGTTTAACTTTTTAAGAGTAAAAAAAACATTTATCCACATACAGGCCCTGAATAGAAGCCACAAGTTTTCATGGAATGATAGCTAAACAGATACTAAGAGAAAGTTTTTTTTTAACACTTGTGATGGACAAACCTGGGTTGATCAATCACTCGTTAGCATGCTCACCTTAACTGAGCTTGCACAACTCATTTACCAAACCTGACAAACAAGTCAAAATAAGAACTCCATAAAGTCTTGGTGCCAATAAGCCTGGAAATGTCTGGGGTGAAGGAAGAAGGAACTAAGACCTTTCTCTACAATCACCTGAGGTTGTAAATTATGGTCTGTTCTTTGATGGTTGTGATTGGATAAATTTGCATTAACTTAAGATATTCACAAGAGGTTCAAATCTATGTTTCTTTCCCTTCATTTCTTTTGAGTTAATCACATTGAATATTTTAGTAAGCAATTGTTAATGAATATATGTGATTAAGATGTAAGTACTGACATTTGATAATAATTTTAACTGTCACACATTCAAAACCAGGACTAAAAACATGTATAAAGTCTTTGCATTTTTAATAAAGCCACTTTTATGTGCAGGTGAGAAACGGCATCAGCAGGCCCCACGGAACGCCACGACACCCACTCCAATGTTCAAATATGGACCAAATCCATATTTCTATTAAAAAATAAAAATAAAAAAAAAAGACAAAAAATACTGTACATCTTCAGTATGTTACAAAAGTATTTACAGACACAATTTAAAACTATTAACCCTGGACACTTTGTACAAAATCAACATTCACCGACGATTTAACAGCGGTAACAACAGTGCACACGACAAATCAATTTGGAGAATCCATTCTTCTCAATGCCTTTACGAAGTCGTTTTAATATGGTACCAAATATTTTCAGATGCAGCATTCACTTGTTTTTTTCCATTCACCACCTACCAAGATTATATTTTTGTTCAAGGCAATAAATTGGTCGTGGCTGAGCATGTCATGTAAACAGTAGAGGTCGTTGGGCGATGAATAATAAAAAGTATATTATAAAAGCCTCTTATTTAATCAGAAAATTCACAGTTCAACTTTTGATGACTGAATAATATTACAAAATGCACTTTTGGTTTTAAGAATTCTACAGCTCTGTTTCCACCGGCCCTGCTTAGCCCTACTCGGCTTGGCTCTACTCTACCCTGATTGGGAGCGTTTCCACTGGCCTAGTTTAACCGGTACCAGGTACTTTTTAGTTCCTCTTGACACTGGTTTCTCACTTTTTTCCCACTGGGGTTTTTTGGGTCCTTGCAGTGACATTGATGACCCACAGTGATTAATTAATACTCAAAAAAATAATAATTCAAGTTGTATTTTGATTATTCTTCCGAACGTGATCAGCCCTGTGTCATTTAAACCCTTTTCGACCCTAATTTAGGGTAATATTCTTCTACTTTTAATCACTATGACTCGAGGGTAGCACAAGGACATTCATGGACAGTGGTCTTCCCGCTCTCGATTGACCAATGGCTCCTAAGTGTTTGTTATTATTGCATTTCCTGTGTTCGAACGGTTTGATTCTCCGATCTGTTGAATCGACAACTTCGATTCTCTGAAACGACTGCTGCCTTAACTTAGAGCTATACGAAAATAATTGAATTGTTCACGGATATTGAGTTGTTAGGGTTAGGTTGCCAGGTTTGCAGATTCAAAAGCGAAACGGAAACACCACCGGGAAGAGTAGAGCCGAGTCGAGCCAAGTAGGGTTGATGGAAAAGAGGCAAAATACTGATTTGCCTTGAAATAAAGGACATGACTTTTTACAGCATAATTGCAAAGGTACACACTAACATTCGTGAATAATGCACATCTTGGCAATCCTATTTCAGAAATTGAGGGAAAAATGCCCATACTTAAATTTAATCCTATTCTCATATTTCTTCTACTATGGCATCTACAATGAAAAAATATACATCTGTGTTCCAATGTAAAAAAAATACTTTAGATTTGTTTTAAATATACATATCCACATCATTTGTGATTGTTGGGCTTTTAACAGAGAAGCCTGGAGTCATGTTAGCGCACAGTTAAGCTTAATAAGTCTTTGTACAGCAACAACTTCGGGGTCGGTAAACAAATATACTTCTATTGGACATGGTTCTTTTATATTTGAACCATTAAACAGACCAGGACGTGCTGGAGGGGCCTGGTCTCTCAGCTGGACAGAGAACGCCTCAGGATTGAGCCGGAGGAAGTGTGCTTGGAGAAGAACGTTCCGGCAATGGATGAAGCCACGGAAAATAACAGCTTCAGCCTCGAAAAAACAAAACCGAAATACCTATACAAATTTCACCCTTATCAAGTATCTTCCTTTGTCCTTATCTCAAGAGAACTTTTTATAATTGTGATTTAAAATGTGGCTCGAATCATTCACAAAAAATGCTTAGTGGGAATTGGCACCAGGTCAATGTTGACGGTATAAAAACAGTGTAATTCCAACTCGTGGTTCGATAGTGTGCCTCGAGGTGTTGTTTTGTGTTGCTTAATAAATACCACATAATTCAAAATCATGTGAAAAACATATTAGAATAACTTGTCTTGCTCTATAGGATTAATTAGGTTCTTCCATACCAGAAAATAGACAAGAGATTTTGCCTAATAAATAACAACTAATTCAAAATCATTTGAAAAGAGAATTATTTTGATTAGAAAGACTTGTTTTGCTTTTAGTTTAGGGAGGTTCATTTTGTCTTCTTAGTATATCAATTTTTTAGTTTCTTCTATTCTGTGTGATCTTAATGCTTTTTAATAATTCCTTATGTGATTTTAAATGTATATGATTTAATGGCTTATGTGATATGGGCTGTGAAGCTATTTGTAATTCGTTTTTGTATCAGTCTCAGCTGGTGGTGTGCCACGGCTCAAAAAGATTGGGGAACACTATAAAATATTCGAGAAAAAAATTGGTTAAATAATCAACGGTCATGACAGTTGCCATAACCGAGCAGCCATAATGCAGTATTTCACATTACTTTTGGAACGCCAGAACACGAACGATGTCTCTCTGCACGCGTCTAAAGCTACGCGGCGTCTCTCGATATCCATCCGCTCTCCGTGAGGAAGGTGAGAATGCGTTTCTTCAGGACTTTATCCAAGTAACTGGGCAGACGGCTTTTGGACGGGATCCCCTGCCGCTTCTGTAGGTGATCCTTGATGATGATAGTTTTGGCGGTTAGGTATCGTGCAGGACTGAGGTTTGTCGAGCTACACAGAACCTTCTCGCGATCCGACAAGAGCTCAAACCCCGGCAGGTTCTCGATGGCCGCGAACTCCCCGTCTTTACTCTCCTCTTTGATGCTGACTCCGCCCATCCCTCCTCCCACACCGCCCCCTCCCGCTCCTCCCCCTAGTCCCATCCCAGAGCCGAGACCACCGCCGCCTCCACCTCCTCCTCCGCTCCCTCGCTTGGACGTCACCACGCTTTTGTTCTCTTTGCGCTTCTCTCGCTTGTGTCTCGCGGCTTCGTACTCCACCGACTCGTCTAGGCGCGCGATGCCGTTCCGCCGGTACCTCTGGAGCTCGCGCACTTTTGCCCGCAACACCCGTTCCTTGTGCATGTTCTCGAAGAAGTCCTCAAACTCTTTGTTGGCCATGAACTGACACAAGCTCTTCAACCGCGAGCGCTGGTCCTTCTCCTCTTTCGTGATTTTCCGTTTGGGCGTTCCTGGAGTTGCAGGTCCCGTCGTGGTCGAGCTTTGACCGATGGCCGCGCTGGTTGGCGTGCTACCACTACCCAAGCTTCCACCAGTGCCTGGGACTCCCAAAGTTCCCGGCTTTTCCTTGTCCTTTTTGTCTTTGCCCAAAAACGACGGAACGAGGCTGTAGTCTCGTGCAATGTTCTTCCGTCGTTGCCGTTCGCGCAGTTTCCGCACGTACATGTCCACGTGCGCGCGCTTCATGTCGATGTCCACGTCCTCGTCGTCGTAGTTCACCGACAGAGCACTGATTAGCTTCTCCGCGTCCTGGTCGTACTCGATCTCGTAGTCATCGCGCAGAGGCATGTAGCCCAGCTGCTGTTGCTCGCTCAGGCTGACGTCCAAGGGGGGTAAGGGGGTGGTGAGGCTGGGGGACAGGGGCCCTCCGGTGGGGCAGGTGTGGTCGGTCACGCGGTTGGGGATGCTGTCCGGGATGCAGGCCTTGCCCAGGTTGCCGTGGATGTACATGGTGACGTAGTGCTCCATCACCTCCTGCGGCGTGCGGGACGGTCCCACGTGAGCCGCCATGTCCTCCTGAGATTGGACAAAACACAGCGGACAATAGACACAAAATAACATCATTCTGGAACAACAACTAAAAACCTTATTCAACTTTTTACAACTCAAAATAATATTTCTGGTATTTTAAATTTGACTATGTCCAAACATGTTAATATACCAGATTCAATGAAAAGTTAATTAGTAGAGTCACTGTATCCCACTTTATACAAATAATACTGTATATAGTGAGTTAAAGCTTTGACTATTCACTATTCATTATATTTTATTGGTCTTGATGGATTGGATCATAATATAAATACATAAAAACATATGTGAAACTGTTGCACAGCAAGACCACAGAACTAACTCCAGCACTTTTGCACATAAATGTTTCTGCCTGGTTCCACACTGCTTTGAAGAGGTGCAGAAATAATAAGCAGGAGTTAGAAATAACAGTTCAGAATTGTTTGAAGTTACTCTAAAATATATTAACATGCTGTTAATGGTGAAAAAAGTGAATAATTACTTGATTAATAGAATGTAATGATATATAGAATACAGTATTATTATTATCATCAAAATCTGCAGCCCCACTGGTGTTAGAATTTATGGAACGTCACTAATTTCAGATAAATGGCTTTTTGTCTGTTTCTTATAGTGCCTTGTATTATCAATGTCAAGATCCCCTCTATGTGGGTCTCCTATGAGGTTTCCAACTTTATCCCCATCAGGTTTTTTGATGATGTTTTTTGCCGATGCAGGGGGGTCCAGGGACAGTGATGAACTGGGACATGTATGGACATCCTGCTTCCTATGTTCCAATAGCTCCTATGTGTTATTTCTTGTGTTCAAACTTCTTTATTAATCTGCATTTTTGTCTGCAGCGAATGTTGTTGTGTTTTAGCCCTATACATTGAATTGAATGAAATAGGCGGGGATAGGTGGTAGGTGAACCAGAATCCAAGTACTGAAGCATATGCAAAAGAAATTAAGTTTTGGCCTAAACTAATGACAAGAGAACACTGCAATAAGAAGGCGAAAGTTTCCCACCGCTGTGCTCTCTCTCCTTCCCCACACAAACCAATGCATTCTAAAATAAAGTTACCCAGTTCCCAAAGCCGTACTGCTCGATGGCATCTAACAGCGACTGCTCCTCCCTGCTCGTCCAGCCTCCCTCTGCCTCCGCGCCCCACAGGGAGAAGCGGCCGCCGTCCACCAGCTGGTATCCGTGCCATCTGCGGTGGTTGCTGATCTCCGCGCCCGCCGAGAAGCACTCCGGACAGAGCTCCATGTCCGGACACTCGGTGCAGCGCAGGCGGAGGTTCGTGACGTCCGAGAGGCAGTTCACGCAGTACTTCTTCCCCACGTCGGCCATGTTGTCCGCCTCCTGCTTCTTGTTGATGCGGGCAGAAGTGACGCATGCGCAGTGGGGGAGTCCTGGCTAGTTCGCTGGTGGGCGGGGTCAGAATTAGAATAAATAAATAAATAATACTTATGTTATTATGAGTTGTAATAGAATGTCAGCCTCCTAATTTCTCGTCATTCAGAATTAGAAGAAATTAATAAATAAATAATACTTATGTTATGTTTTGTGATAGAATGTTAGCCACCTTAGAGCATTTACAATATAATACAGACAATATACAAATACATAATAAAGAAAATAGAACAAAGCCCCAGTATGTATCTTCTAGTATGATATTATTATTGTGCAACATAGCCTGTCCTTCTGAAGCTAAGCAGGGCCTGGTTAGTACTGTGATGGGAGACCTCTACAGTGTTATGCATTGAGATTGGATTCAGAAAAAGATGTCCTTTGTATGGACACATTTTTGTTCATTGTTTTGTATTTGATTTGTTCTATATCTTGTTTTTGGATGATTCCTTTTCATAACTGTGATGTGGATATTTGTGATGATAAGCATTCATAAATCCTGTGCACTTCCTACTATACTATATTACTATATAAGATTTAGGAATTTATTTGCAGGAAAACCACATTGATATTATACTATACTTGTAATACCATACTATTACTAAACTATACTATACTTTGCTACTATTACTATACTATACAATACTACTATTACTACTATTACTATATTATGGTACTATTCTATTACTACTATTACTTCAGATTCAGATTCATTTATTTACCATTTGTAGTAAAACCTATTACTTTACTATACCATACTATACTGTTAGTACTTTTACTATACTATACCATTACTACTATTACCATACAGTTTAGTGTTAAAGTCAGCCTGAACTGATGCAAAATGCAGAGAACGAAATGCCTAGACCTTAGTATTCATGAGACGCTGCAGCGGATTGGCTCAGTCCTGGAGTTTCCTTAGCAACCACAACACAACCAATGGGCTCATTCACCGGAGCAGAGCAGCACTCACAACAACAGACTTTATTATCTTTAGAACATATTGTATTAAAAATGAGTGGAGAGACAGAGCAAGGAGACCACAGGACAGACTCACCTGCTTATCCTCATGAACAGGGCTCCACTGTGCATGTGACAGACGTGGAAGCACAAGGAGACAATGTCCAAACTGAGACTGTGTCAGAGACTGAAGAGAGACCGAAGCTCACGAACGATTCCGCTGGAGAGAGACGTAAGAATATTCCAAAACTACTGTCTTTGGTCTGACCTTTCCCCTGTCCAATGTCCAGAACGACAACCATTGACTCATGTTGTCTCCATTGTTTCTTAGATAAAGAGGAAGATGAGTTGGAAATGACAGAAGAAGAGCCCATAGGTACAGTATATACTTAGTATTGTTAATATTATAGGGAAAGGATGTGGTATTATATTAACTAGAGAGTATTACAGGTTTAGAAATATACTGTACATATAATCCATCTTATTCTATAATGTTAACCCAACACGTAATTATAAATTGTTGAAATAAATATCCTCTGCTGACCAATCCTCTGACTTTGACCCAGTTTTGGTTAAGACCAAATACAGTGACTGAACCAACCAGAAAATATTATCCAAACTCAGATAAAATTAAAGTAATCCTTTTGTCAAATCACTATCATACTTCAAATATGCAGCTTCCAACACTTTTTTACTTCCAGTCTCCGACTAAAGTGAGTTTGACAGCTGGGCCTTTTAATTTCTGTTTTGTTCTAAAGATCAAGATTCATTTTTTTTTCCATTTGCAGTAAAACCACATTGGAATACTTGTGCAAGAGTTCCTTGGTGTGCACAATACATACTATTCCATACACAGGGCAACACAAAGCGCTTCACAGTCCACATCACACAAGGAGCAAACACAGAATCACAATTTAAAACAGAATTTAAAAAACACACAGATAATAAACGCATTACAATCACACAAGAAATTAAAACTATTAAAACATTACAATCACATAAGGCATTACAAAATAAATGCATGTACTGTATCTCTGCATTAAAGATATAGATCCACTTTTTCAGTTGTATGCACAGTCCTGGATTAGACTAGTACATAAATAAAACAAACTAAAAAAGTACAAGAAACAGTTGTCAATCTGAAACTACTAAATAAAACAAGAAGAACAGTGGGTAAATACACACAGTGCACCAAGACGATTTGAATAGACAGGCGTCGTTAGCTGTTTGAGTGACTGGAAACAGCCCACATGGTATGCCCACATGGTATCAGCACATTAGCATACAAGAGGATCAGGACTCCAGCCCTGAGTGTATCAGAGAAACAGTGGACGACCATGATGGGTGTGACCAGTGAGTCCATTTTCTGACTGATGCACCGAGCCAAAGCTATTTCCTAGTCTATGACTTCCTGATACTTACATGGCAATAAAAATGATTCTGATTCTGAAATTAGTAATAAGTGTAAAGTATTTTAGCTATTGTGCTAATTCCAGCATAAGTATGTTTGCTGACTCATTGATTACTATGTACTGTCCTAAATTTAAATAAATAAATAAAGACACATATGTAAAAAAAAAAAAAACACTTATATATTATTATTTTGTTCAAGATAGAAATGTTTTAGTTGTTCTTTTATTCTAGAGTTAGAGATTTAGTTTTATTGTAATTTGTATAGAGCTATTGTTCACTTATCTTGTGCTGTGGGCTCCTCATTCCTATACTGTAAATTGTGATGCAACACTGAAATTTCCCCACTGTGGAACAAATAAAGGATCTCTTTATAGATCTGTGTTGGCGAATCTTTGAACTTTGTAAAGTTAAGATAACTATTGTTGTGATTTAGGGATATACAAGAAAATATTGAATTTAATTGATTTGAAATATCTGGGTAAATAATGAACTTTCTCATTTGCTTTTGTTGCAGATACCAAAGTAGAAGAAAGTCAAAATTCTGCTATGTCCCCAGACCATGGCAATCCTTCCCATGAAACAACACAATCAAGCCAAGACACAGATGCAGCAATTCCAAACGAAGACCACGGAGACATAGTTACTGACATAGACCAAGAAACTCAAGCATGTATAGAGAGTCTGAAGGTAGATGGTGATGGAGATGGCTCACACCGACTGGACAGAGAAGCCCCAAACCGACAAACCGATCCTGTAGGACCCACCAGCAACCACAGGAGTTATTTAGAATATTCTTTAATCCTAGAGCAACTAACGGAAGAACGCGCTCAGGCCGAGGAACGCTGTAAAAGTTTGCAGATGAAGCTGGCTCCCATTCTGGCCAAGAAACCCCGAGAGGAGGTGGAGAGGCTGGTGCAAGGGGAGGGGGACACGGCCCGCTACGAGGAGTGTCTGCGGAGGTTAACGGAGATAAAGATGAGAATGAAGGAGGAGAGAGAGGAGGCGGAGAGGCGGGCGGTGGAGCTGAGGGAGCAGGCGCAGAGAAGGCTAAGCAAGGTGAGTGGTGAGTCAGAGCACAAGGCTGTACAGGCGTGGAAGCAGTTTGTGTTTGTGTGTGTCACAGGTTTAAAAGTGTCTGTTGAGGGGGTGTGATCATAAAACAGGAAGAGGATAAAAAGGGGATAAAATTTAATAAAATATTTACAAAAGGTCCATTAAAATCATGATAAAACCCGTAGTCCGCTGGGCACCGGTGTACTCCCTGGCCTCGGTTCCCTCCAGGCCCTTCTCCGTCCCGGGACCGGGCTGCAGTCCCGCCAGCCCCTTGCAGACCACGGGTCGCCACCGGGCACCCGCGGAAAAGAGCCGGCACATCCCGGTCTTCGGTGGGCATAGCCCGGGCGCGCACGCGCCAGTGCGCTATCAATGCGCGCCCCCTCACCGGTGCCGCTCTGCCCGCTGGCCTCAGTGCCCCGTGGTCTCTGGCTGGCGGTGCTCGTCCTTGGCCCGGTCCCGTGTCCTCATCCTCTCCCCTGGCTCTCGTCTGGCTCTCCTCTGCTCTCTTCCCGTTCTTCTCCCCTGTCCTGCAGTGCCCGCCCCCAATTAAAAGGTCTTGATTAAAACAGGTGCGGGTGATTAGGGGAAGTGTCCAAGGAACTGATTAAAATCCATGCATTAAAAATATAAAAACACAAAACACATCACACAAATAAAAGCAGTTAAAAGTCCTTATTAAAAGTTCACTTTCCCACATTCCCCCCAACTTAAACGTAAGCAGTCCCTGCTACGTTAAAACCATAGTCCATCCATCTGCTTAATCATCCGTTTCTCCGGCGGGCACCACTCCACGTTTCCTTAAAAACAAGTCCATACATCCATTAAAACCATCCGCGGGGCCTCCAACAATGTTCCTCGTTTTGGGGCAAGGCCTCTGCTCTGCGTCCCCAACGGCAGTCTCCTGTCCAGCGGTACGAATTGCATAAAAAAGTAAAAACATAAAAACGGGGCTAAAACCAATAAAAGATCACACCAGTCCTCAATCCTGTCAGCAACGCCATAATTGTCACACAGGGTGTGAGGTTCTTTTTTAGATCCGTTTAAAGAAACACCACTGTTAAATAACAAGCCCAAGTAAAGCAGGTTCACAAGCTTTAATATAACATGATATAAAAAGTCTTAAAGTATACGACTAAAAGCTGGTGTTAAAATACATAAAAGTCAGTATAAAAAAGATTGAAATCTGGAGCTCCAAAGACCGCAGTCTGTCTCTAAGACTGCGCGCGTGTCCCCGCCTCACGCCGGTATGGGCCCTCGGTTGGTGTCTGCGGAGGAAACACAATTCCGCTGTCAGTTTCTCTCAAAGCTATAGTTCATATTATGCGCCTTGTAGAGCTTATGGGGCCGTCCCTTTAGTCTGCGCCTAGAGAGCGTTGTATAAATCAGCGGTGGTCCCCAGGTCGCGTCCTCTTCACGCCGCCTCAGACTCACACGCTCCCGGTTCCTCCAGAGCACTGGGCACAGTGAAGCCTCAAGGTAGGAGGGGGAAATGGGGCAGAGAGCCAGACCACAGTACCAGTACGGAGTAAGTATATTACACGTCCCTTTACTTAGCTCGTGTGGGCGTTTCTGGGTCTCCTGCCCCTGCGGCCTGGTCCCGCGGATCTGCTGCGGCCTGGTCCCGCGGATCTGCTCCCGGCCTGGTCCCGCTGATCTGCTCCCGGCCTGGTCCCGCTGATCTGCTCCCGGCCTGGTCCCGCTGATCTGCTCCCGGCCTGGTCCCGCTGATCTGCTCCCGGCCTGGTCCCGCTGATCTGCTCCCGGCCTGGTCCCGCTGATCTGCTCCCGGCCTGGTCCCGCTGATCTGCTCCCGGCCTGGTCCCGCTGATCTGCTCCTTGCCTGGTCCCGCTGATCTGCTCCCGGCCTGGTCCCGCTGATCTGTTCCCGGCCTGGTCCCGCTGATCTGCTGCCGGCCTGGTCCCGCTGATCTGCTCTCCCTTCTTCCGTGTGGAATGTCTCTTGTCAAAGTTTTGTTTCCGCACCACCAGACTCCTCCCCCATTCATTCATAATTCCCTTTTTTATAGTGGGAAAGAGCAGCGTCAACCAATTGCTGTCTGGGGGTGTGGGCTGCTCCACAGCCTCTGCCGTAGTCCAATCTACTCAGTCCCATGCAGGCAAAACACAGCAAACTACACTAAAATACACACTTGGATGCAAAAGATAACAACCGAAAGAGGACTACAGCTAGATTAGATGGGTGCCACTGACATTCCCCCCGTCTATAATATTGGTCGTCCCGATCAATCTCAGTCACCATATCTGACAGGTCTTTTTCCTATATTTGTACGTTGAGACCGTCGTGCACTTTGGGGGAACTGTTCTGAATGCTCAGGTGGAGTAGCAGGCTCTGTGCTCCTTATAATTGCTGGAACTGGGGCCCTGGCTGATTCTGGGAGGCAAGACTGAGTGCGAGTGACCAGTCCTGGGAGCCACCATGTCGGAGGGGCTGACACATTTCACTCGGTGGTTCGGCCGCTTCTGGGGTTGTAGACTCCTGCCTGGGCTCCAACACATTTAACGGACATGGCCTCAAGTTATTTCTGTGAATGGTGCGTGTAGGAGAGTCTTTACCTTCGGGGCGTATGACATACACTGGGTGGTCTTTGCGCAGTGGAGCCACGACGACATAGAGTTCTGGGTTCCATCTGGGGGACAGTTTCCCACCTGCTCGGCGACGAAAGTTCCGGATGAGGACACGCTCCCCCGGCAACAGGGGCGCGAGCTTTGCCCTCCGGTCATAACGCGTACGGTCATTTTCTTGTCTCAGTTCAGTCTTTTGTTTTGCCACGCCATAAGCATGGTTTAGTGCCTTTTGGTGTCCTTTGACCCATCCTTCTAGAGAGTGACGGTCAGCAGTGGGCCCCAAACCTGTGGTCCAATCTACCGGCAGCCTTGCATGTCTCCCAAAAACTAAGTAGTGGGGGGTCAAGCCAGTAGTCCCATGGGGGGTGTTGTTATAAGCCTGGACAAGTGCTGGTAAGTGGGTATGCCAGTGTGCCTGTTGAGTTTCCTCCAAGGACCCTAAGAGCCCAAGGAGGGTTTGGTTAAACCGCTCGCAAGCCCCATTCCCTTGTGGGTGGTAAGCAGTAGTACGGTCCTTCCGGCAGCCGTAGAGTTGACACGATGATTCAAATGTAGCCCCCCGGTCGCTGAGAATGCGCTCTGGACATCCGAAAAGATGGATCCAATGTGTGTATAACGCACGTGCTGTGGTCTCTGCTCCCTGGTCTCTAGTGGGGACAGCAACAGCAAATTTTGAAAATAAATCAGTCATAACAAGAATGTATGTGTACGGGTCCCCCTCTCGTCCCAATGATAGATAATCTATACCCACAATCTCAAATGGGTATGAGGTGACGATTGGTAGTAGGGCAGCCCTCCCGTCGGGTCCTGGTTTGTGATATATACACTGGGGGCAGTGCTCTGTCCACTCTTTCACATCCTCTGTCATTCTAGGCCAGTAGCACCGTCGTCGTAAGGCCTCCAGTGTCCTTTCGCAGCCAGGATGTCCCATCTTTTCATGGTAAACCCGCCACAAACTTTCAGTCTCATGTTCTGGAATAATCTGTTGAAAGATCTTTACCCCTGAGCCTGGCTCAACCCATACCCTTCCAAGAACATTGTCTTTAAGTGAAATGTGGTCCCATTCCTTCAACAATCGTTTTAAGTATGGGGATGTGTTGTGTACCTCTGGTAGAGTCTGCTGTTGCCCTTTCCATTGGCGTAGCAGGGCCAGGTCTGGGTCTTTGGCTTGTCGCTCTCTCCACTCTCCCATATCTAGCCCGATTTCAGTCTGGTCTGCGATAGTCCTCAACACTCCGGTGGCACCTTCAGGCAACCTAGACAACGCATCAGCATTACAATTTTGTACTCCTGGACGGTACTTTATATTGTACCTGAAGTTTGCCAACTGGGCTGCCCATCGCTGTTCCACAGCCCCCAGCTTTGCAGTCTCCAGATGCACTAGAGGGTTGTTGTCGGTGAACACTGTAAACTCTGCGCCGTATAGATAGTCCTTAAACTTCTCTGTGACCGCCCACTTCAATGCCAACAATTCCAATTTAAAGGAGCTGTAGTTCTGATCGTTACGCTCTACAGGTTATAAACTGCGGCTGGCATAGGCTATCACACGTTCCTTATCATCTTGGACTTGTGCCAGGACAGCCCCCAATCCCTCAAAACTGGCATCGGTATATACACGGAAGGGTTTCGAAAAGTCTGCATAGGCCAGTATTGGGGCATTGAGTAACGCCGTTTTTAGCTTGTCGAATGCACCTTGACATTCTACAGACCAATTTACCAGAGCCGTCTTAGGGGTATTAGTTGTATTCCGTGTGAGGGCGTTCAACGGTATCGCAATTTTTGAAAAGTCTGGGATGAAGCGCCTGTAATAGCCTGCGAAGCCAAGGAAGGACTTTACCTGCTTCACTGTTTTGGGTGTGGGCCACTCTTTCACGGCTGCAGTCTTCTCTGGGTCAGTTGCTACCCCTTGCTCACTTATTACATGGCCAAGGTAAGTCACCTTCTGCTGGAATAGGCTACACTTCCTGGGTTGTAGCTTCAGCCCATGTTCATCCAGCCGCTGGAACACTTCTTCGAGATGGCGGAGGTGGCTATCAAAATCTGGAGAAAACACCACAACATCGTCAAGATATATTAACAATGAGTCATTTACCAGACTTCCGAGGCAGCGCTGCATCAGTCGTTGGAAAGTGGCCGGGGCATTACACAGCCCAAAAGGCATGCGTTCGAACTCGTAAAGGCCAAAGGGTGTGGTAAATGCGGTTTTCTCCCGGTCTGCCGGATCCATCTCCACTTGCCAGTATCCACTTGCGAGGTCCAGCGTAGAATACCATTTTGCCGCCTTCAGCCCTGTCAAAGATTCTTCAATGCGTGGCAATGGGTAAGCGTCTCTATGGGTAACCGCATTGAGCCTCCGATAGTCCACGCAGAACCTCCAGCTCCCATCTTTCTTCTTCACAAGAACAATGGGGGCTGCCCATGGGCTGGCACTCTCCCGCACCACTCGAGTCTCCAACATGTTTTTCAACAACACTTGGAGTTCTGTATACAAGCTCGGGGGGACGGGTCTGTACCTCTCACGGCTAGGGGGGGCGGGGCCTGTCGGTATTCGGTGTTGGACTGCACTCGTTCGGCCAAAGTCTTCGTCATGGCATGAAAACACCCTCCTCCATTTATTCAAGAGCTCCGCCATTCTCTGTTGTTCCCTCGGGTCAAGGCCATGCCCCTGTAGAGATAGAACTGGGTGAGCATCTTCATCTGCAGTCAGGTCAGTCCTCACACGCCTTACGGTTACTTCAATAATGTCCGGTGCCACACTGTCCAATACCAGTTCCTGCTCCCCTTTGATGTCTGAGGCAGCCACTTCAGATACTTGAGCCAGGGGTTGGCGTTGTGGCACCTCCACTGGATAGGGGTTAGGGTTACATACCCTACATGGGACCCGGCCACTGTTGAGCCTCGTCAGGGTCCGTCCCACACACCACTCTGAATCACTATTAGGCAGAGGTTCAACAAACACATTGGATTGGTCTGCAGGGTTCCCACTCACCTGCAGCCATAACACCATCTCAAAAAGGGAATTATGAATGAATGGGGGAGGAGTCTGGTGGTGTGGAAACAAAACTTTGACAAGAGACATTCCACACGGAAGAAGGGAGAGCAGATCAGCGGGACCAGGCCGGCAGCAGATCAGCGGGACCAGGCCGCACTCTGAATCACTATTAGGCAGAGGTTCAACAAACACATTGGATTGGTCTGCAGGGTTCCCACTCACCTGCAGCCATAACACCATCTCAGAGAGGGGAGGAATGGTTATGGGGGATTGGCGTGGTAGCTTGGCAACCCCCTGGTAAGCTGGTGCAGGACTCTTCATGGACACCCTCTGGCACTCCGCAAATGCCTGCGCCCAGACCTGGCCTTCGACCGTTGGTAGCAGAGTCCTAAAAGCTGCCAAACCCGGGTGGCTCTCCTGGGTAAGTGCAGACCAAACAGGTTTTATTACATTCATTCCCAAGATCCCCTTATCTGGCCCCAAACAGGCATCTTCTACCACCAGAATGCCCTTTTCAGGCACGCTAATATTCCCAACTGTAACAGTCACTAGGGCATAGCCAATGTAAGGAATCTTTAGCCCATTCGCTGCGCGTAGGGTTAACCATGGTACCTCTTCTGCACTAGAAACCCCTGCCCCTTTCAAATGTTTCTCGAATAAACTTTGGCTCAGCAGAGTTACTTGAGAACCTGTGTCAAGTACAAACGGTATCGCACAATCGTTAAGCTTTACAATGACATCTACACACTCACCAACTAGAGCAGCCCTGGTCCGTGAATGGGGCATTCCAGATGGTGGTGGGATCTTGATGGTGGGCTCTTTGTCCAGGACAATCGCCCCCACTGCTTGGCCCACAGCTGCAGGGGGAATTAAAAATCCTGGGTCTGTGATGCTTTACGGGGGCATCTGCGCTGAACATGCCCTGGGGCTCCACATTTACCGCAGATGGGGCGGCCCTGTGCATCCCATCGGTAGGAAGTGGGATTTTGTAGTCTGTACTGCTGGGTTGGGGGTGTCCAAGGGGCTAGTGGTTGTGGAGGGCTAGAGAGTTGAGCCTTCATTTGTTCTACTAAGTTATTAGACAGAGTTTTCATCTGTTCCTGCATCTCTTTCCGCATCTCTAACATAAGTTCTTCTTTGAGCTGTATACAAATTTGTCCTTTTAGCTCTTCTGGGTCTGGTACGGAGCGCAAGGGTGGGGTGTAGGTCTGGACCCTCTGGCTCACAATGGTATCCCCTTCGTCCTCCAATTCCAATTCTAAAGCACGGGCTTCCTTGCATGCACCAGTAAACGTCAGGTCAGTATTGCGTCTCAATAAGCGAGTTAGCTCTTGTTTCACAGGGCCTCTCTTTAAGCCCACCATGAGTTGGTCTAATAGCAAGTCATTATAACTCTCTGCTGCGGCTCTTTCCAATTCTTGCCATTTGTAAAAATGTTCTCTGAGTCTCAATTCAAAAGCATTTATGTTTTCGTCAGCCCTTTGCTTACAGTTGTAAAAATTAGTTCTCAATTGAGATCTTGTTGTGGGCCTATCGTAATGTTCCTTTAAGAAGGCTAAAATCTTACTCCCCGTATCTCTGTTAGCTGCTCGCTCTAATAGTAGCTCTCTTTTTGCTTCCCCCTCCAAGGCAGTCAATATAAAATCAGCTTCTTGCTCTGGGGTTAGCCCTTGTGCTCTGAGCATAGCCTCCACCTGAGCTTTCCATTCTACAAATTTTGTTAGCTCCCCTCCAAATTTTGGGATAAATGCTGCACCCATAAACCAGGGCATAGTGAACTGTGCAGTGATGGAATTAGATCCAGTCCTAGAACTTGTACCTGCTTGTGCCTGCATGTTTAACAGTGGTACGGATCCTGCCAGCAACGCCAAAATTGTCACAGGTTTAAAAGTGTCTGTTGAGGGGGTGTGATCATAAAACAGGAAGAGGATAAAAAGGGGATAAAATTTAATAAAATATTTACAAAAGGTCCATTAAAATCATGATAAAACCCGTAGTCCGCTGGGCACCGGTGTCCTCCCTGGCCTCGGTTCCCTCCAGGCCCTTCTCCGTCCCGGGACCGGGCTGCAGTCCCGCCAGCCCCTTGCAGACCACGGGTCGCTACCGGGCACCCGCGGGGAAGAGCCGGCACATCCCGGTCTTCGGTGGGCATAGCCCGGGCGCGCACGCGCCAGTGCGCTATCAATGCGCGCCCCCTCACCGGTGCCGCTCTGCCCGCTGGCCTCAGTGCCCCGTGGTCTCTGGCTGGCGGTGCTCGTCCTTGGCCCGGTCCCGTGTCCTCATCCTCTCCCCTGGCTCTCGTCTGGCTCTCCTCTGCTCTCTTCCCGTTCTTCTCCCCTGTCCTGCAGTGCCCGCCCCCAATTAAAAGGTCTTGATTAAAACAGGTGCGGGTGATTAGGGGAAGTGTCCAAGGAACTGATTAAAATCCATGCATTAAAAATATAAAAACACAAAACACATCACACAAATAAAAGCAGTTAAAAGTCCTTATTAAAAGTTCACTTTCCCACATGTGTGTCTCATTCTTATTGTTCTCTAAAGAGTAATCCAGGATGGTGGGATGTATAAAGGACCTCTTCATCTCAGACACAACATTAATCAAAAGTAAAGGCACAATGCTAATGTTAGGATTAGATAGCGATTTGACCAACTGCAAGACTATACAAGGACTCTTCTGATTGTGCATCCATGTTTTGACTATGATGTGCACTGTCTCTGTGTGACACGTATGTCTTTCGATCACACGTTTCAGCTTTAGTGTCCATCCATCCATCCATCCATTTTCTTCCGCTTCATCCGTTGCCGGGTCGCGGGGGCAGCAGTCTAAGCAGAGACGCCCAGACTTCCCTATCCACACACACCTCCTCCAGCTCGTCCGGGGGGACTCCAAGGCGTTCCCAGGCCAGCCGAGAGACATAGTCCCTCCAGCGTGTCCTGGGTCTTCCCCGGGGTCTCCTCCCGGTGGGACATGCCCGGAACACCTCCCCAGGGAGGCGTCCAGGAGGCATCCGGAACAGATGCCCGAGCCACCTCAACTGGTTCCTCTCGACGTGGAGTAGCAGCGGTTCTACTCCGATCTCCTCCCGTGTGACTGAGCTCCTCACCCTATCTCTAAGGGAGCGCCCAGCCACTCTGCGGAGGAAGCTCATTTCGACCGCTTGTATCCGCGATCTTGTTCTTTCGGTCATTACCCAAAGCTCATGACCATAGGTGAGGGAGGGGACGAAGATTGACCGGTAAATTGAGAGCTTTGCCTTTCGGCTCAGCTCCCTCTTTACCACAACGGTCCGATACAGCGACCGCATCACTGCGCACGCTGCACCGATCCGCCTGTCAATCTCACGCTCCATCCTTCCCTCACTCGTGAACAAGACCCCGAGATACTTGAACTCCTCCACTTGAGGAAGGGGCTCTCCACCCACCCGGAGAGGGCAAGGCACCTTTTTCCGGTCGAGCACCATGGCCTCAGATTTGGAGGTGCTGATTCTCATCCCAGCCGCTTCACACTCGGCTGCAAACCGTCCCAGTGCATGTTGTAGGTCCTGGTTCGTTGGAGCCAACAGGACAACATCGTCTGCAAACAGCAGAGATGAAATCCTGTGGTCTCCGAACCGGACCCCCTCCGACCCTTGGCTGCGCCTAGAAATTCTGTCCATGAATACAGTGAACAGAACCGGTGACAAAGGGCAGCCCTGGCGGAGGCCAACATGCACTGGGAACAGGTCTGACTTACTGCCGGCAATGCGCACGCAGCTCTGGCTCCGGTCATACAGGGACCGGACGGCCCTCAGCAGAGGACCCCGGACCCCGTACTCACGGAGGACCCCCCAAAGGACACCCCGGGGAACACGGTCGAACGCCTTCTCCAAATCCACAAAGCACATGTGGACAGGTTGGGCGAACTCCCATGAACCCTCGAGTATCCGATGGAGAGTGTAGAGCTGGTCCAGTGTTCCACGGCCGGGACAAAAACCACACTGCTCCTCCTGAATCCGAGATTCGACCATCGGCCGTAACCTCCTCTCCAGTACCTTGGAGTAAACCTTACCAGGGAGGCTGAGGAGTGTTATCCCACGATAATTGGAACACACCCTCCGGTCCCCCTTCTTGTAGAGAGGGACCACCACCCCGGTCTGCCACTCCATTGGCACCGCCCCCGATCGCCACGCGATGTTGCAGAGACGTGTCAGCCAAGACAGTCCTACAACATCCAGAGACTTAAGATAGTCAGGACGGATCTCATCCACTCCCGGCGCCTTGCCACCAAGGAGGCTGCCAACCACCTTGGTGACCTCTGCCAGGGTGACAGAAGTATCCGCCCCAACATCCTCAGCCTCTGCCTCCGGAGCGGAGGACGTGACGGGGGGATTGAGGAGAACCTCAAAGTATTCCTTCCACCGTCCGACAATATCCCCGGTCGAGGTCAGCAGCTCACCCCCCGCACCGTACACGGTGTTGGCAAAGAACTGCTTCCCCCTCCTGAGGCGCCGGACAGTTTGCCAGAATCTCTTCGAGGCCGACCGATAGTCATGCTCCATGGACTCTCCGAATTCCTCCCTGTCCCGGATTTTTGCCTCTGCAACAGCCCGGGCCGCGGCACGCTTGGCCTGCCTGTACTGGACAGCTGCCTCAGGAGTCCCCCGAACCATCATGGCTCGATAGGACTCCTTCTTCAGCCTGACGGCATCCCTTACTGCCGGTGTCCACCACCGGGTTCGGGGGTTGCCGCCGGGACCAGCACCAGAGACCTTGCGACCACAGCTACGAGCCGCCGCATCGGCGATAGAGGAAGAGAACATGGTCCACTCAGACTCAATATCCCCCTCCTCCGCCGGGACCTGGGAGAAGCTCTCCCGGAGGTGTGAGTTGAAAGTCCGTCTGACAGGGGTCTCAGCGAGACGTTCCCAGCAGACCCTCACTACACGCTTGGGTCTGCCAGGTCTGACTGGCTTCTTCCCCTGCCAGCGGATCCAACTCACAACCAGGTGGTGATCGGTTGACAGCTCCGCCCCTCTCTTTACCTGAGTGTCCGAAACACGCGGTCGATCATCGACCTCCGGCCTAGGGTGTCCTGGTGCCACGTGCACTGGTGGACACCCTTGTGCTCAAACATGGTGTTCGTGATGGACGAAACCGTGACTAGCACAGAAGTCCAACAACTGAACACCACTCGGGTTCAGATCAGGGGGGCCATTCTTCCCGATCACCCCTCTCCAAGTGTCACTGGCGCTTCCCACATGGGCGTTAAAGTCCCCCAGGAGAATGACGGAGTCCCCGGGCGGTGCACCGTCCAGTACCCCTCCCAAGGACTCCAAGAAGGCCGAGTACTCTGCACTGCCGTTAGGCCCGTAGGCCGTCACAACAGTGAGAGACTTGTCCCCCACCCGAAGGCGGAGGGACGCGACCCTCTCATTCACCGGGGAGAACTCCAACACGTGGCGGCTGAGATGGGGGGCAATGAGTATGGCCACCCCAGCTCGCCGCCTCTCCCTGCGAGAAACACCAGAAAAGTGGAGCGTCCAACCCCTCTCAAGGAGTTGGGTTCCAGAGCCCAAGCTGTGTGTAGAGGTGAGGCCGACTATCTCTAGTCGGTACCTCTCGACCTCCCCCACAAGCTCGGGCTCCTTCCCCCCCAGTGAGGTGACGTTCCACGTCCCAAGAGCCAAATGTTGGGTGTGCGGACTGGGTCGCCGAGGTCTCCGCCTTCGACTGCTGCCCAGTCCTCTCTGCACCGAGCCTCCACGGACCCCTCTGCGGGTGGTGGGCCCACAGGAGAGTCCAGATTCAGCTATTCAATTCAGTCCAAATCATGTCCAAATTCAGAAATCCAATTGTTCCAAATGATGTCCATGCAAAAGAGGACGATGGTGTTGTCCATGTCTCAGCAGCTCACAGCAGGCCTGAGTGGAATCAGGGGCTGTGCAGATTGTCCATGTGTGCTGGTCCAGATGCATGGTTTCTCTTGAGGTTTTTCAATTTTCTCTTAAAAAAAAAAAAAAAATTGTGTTAAAAAAAAAAGTAGTCATCTGTTCTGTAGATGTTACAGACAATGCCTGCATCCTTCCACCACCTGAAGAAGATGGCAATGTCTGGGATCGCGTCTTTAATTTAGACAGAAGACAGAAGTTTTATTGTCAATGGTAGAGACAGCACGAACAAAGCACACGAACCAAGGATGTTACGACAGCAAGTTGTAATATACTCAGGAGAAAGAGAGACCTCCAATCAGCAGCTGCCACGGTGCCAGCAGAGATAGTCAAAAAAAGTAGTGGAAAAGTACTGTTTTCTGCACGTTGATAGAATGATGAGTTTAACTTTAACAAAAGTTGCTTCAAAGTGTTATGAAATCTCACACTAACCACTCAGACAGCCACCTTGTCACAGTTTTTGTTGCATAAAAAGTTGCATAATGCTCTTTTTAGGCAATTGAAAGTCATTTGGTCTTTAGTGGTTTACAAAATAGTTGTGGTTTGATAGTTGCTCAAAGAATAGAGTTCTGCTGGGACTCTGAGGAGCACAGGGACTGGCCTCCTGCTGGGACTCTGAGGAGCACAGGGACTGGCCTCCTGCTGATGCCCAGAGTCAAGACTAAACAACGGGAGGCACTGTTTCAGATATATGCAGCTAAAATCTGGAACAGTCGTCCTGAAAATGTGAGCTAGGCAAGAGATTTTTAACGCACTGTGTATATTTATTATTTGAAGGCCTTGTGTGAGTCTTCCTACCGTGTTTTGTTACACACTGTGAGTTGCCGTGTGTATGAACTGTGCTATACAAGTTGCTTTGCCTTTGCTTGAATGAAATTGTCACATTGTCTCTTGCTGGCCTGCTGCAGGTGGACCAGGAGTGGCGTGAAGTTCTGTCCCTGAAGAAGGACGTGGCGCTGACTGTGCTGAGCCGCCACATGGTCCGAGCAGAGGCCCAACTGAGAGTGAGTGTGAGGCTTTGGTTTTACAGTTTACATACTGTACTCGCTGGACTAGACTCAACTCCTTTGAACCCTGTGCCTATGCAGGGTTTGATGCAGTTTTTTTTTTTAGAGCACCCCAGATGTTCTAGAATGTGAAAAAGTATCTCAGAAGAAAATATCTGGTGAAACAAGTTGAAGGGTAAATAATGCTATCGGTCTGTAGCTCCCTATGCTGCCACTAGAGGGAGGTGTAGCATTGGTTTGTTAGTTCAGATTCAGATTCATTTATTTGCCATGTGCAGTAAAAACACATTGGAATAAATTTGCAGAAGTCCCCAGTGTGCACAAGACAAGTACATTTTCCAAGACTTAAGAGCGTTTACGAGGAACATAAAACTGAATTCTCCTCTTCTTCTTGTTCCTGAGAAACACCTTCACTGCTGTGATATGAGAAAAAGAGCTGAAAATATGTTGTTCCTTCGATAAAAAGTATAATCTCAGATAGTTCTGCCAAAGAGAAGTTTATCACTTTTTTCTCACTATTTATTTTATTGGCTTTGGAGTCGTTCCTTCACAATGAAAGTGATTATGGGAGACATTTATGAACAGTGGTCATTGCACTCCCTGTGTGTCTGTAATCAATGCATTTCCTGTGTTAGTCCTCTGAGAAAACTACTGTTGTGATTTAGGATTTATAAATCACAATGACACTTTCCCTAGTCCTTGTTACCTGGTCCCTCTCTCCTGGTCCCTCTCCCCTGGTCCTTGTTACCTGGTCCCTCTCTACTGATCCTTGTCACTGGGTCCCTTTCATCTGGTACCTCTCACCTGGTCCCTCTCTCCTGGTCCCTCTCACCCGGTCCCTCTCTCCTGGTCCCTCTCTCCTGGTCCCTCTCTCCTCCCTCCCCCCTGGCCCCTCTCCCCTGGCCCCTCTCTCCTGCTCCCTCTCACCTGGTCCCTCTCTCCTGGTCCCTCTCACCTGGTCCCTCTCCCCTGGATCCTCTCTCTGGCTCCCTCTCTCCTGGTCCCTCTCCCCTGGTCCCTCTCACCTGGTCCCTCTCCCGTGGTCACTCTCTCCTGATCCCTCTCTCCTGGTCCCTCTCACCTGGTCCCTCTCCCCTGGATCCTCTCTCCTGCTCCCCCTCTTCTGGTCCCTCTCTCCTGGTCCCTCTCACCTGGTCCCTCTCACCTGGTCCCTCTCCCCTGGATCCTCTCTCCTGCTCCCTCTCACCTGGTCCCTCTCCCCTGGCCCCTCTCTCCTGCTCCCTCTCTCCTGGTCCCTCTCACCTGGTCCCTCTCACCTGGTCCCTCTCTCCTGGTTCAGGTGGACTCGGCCCTGGCCTGGGAGCAGCAGCAGCAGGAGGTTCTGACCCGACTGCGCCTCCAGAACCTGCGGCTGGACTCTCGGATCCACAGACTGCAGCAGGAGCTCCAGGAGGCGGACCGCAACGCCACCAACCCCTTCCAGAGGCAGTACGAGAGGCTACAGACCCGCACCAGCGAGAGGAAGAGGAGGAGGCAGAGGAGGCAGCAGGAGGCCAGAGGAGCCCAGGCCAGGCTGCTTCAGAGACTGCAGGTACCTCATGTTTGGAATCATCGGAGCAACTTCAACAAATGATAATATTGACTTTAGCATTGGCAGGTTTTAGAACGGAAAGTACAGACGGAAAAAACTACTCTCTATTCTCCCTGTCTCTTTCTCCGTGGTCTTTCTTGTTTCTCTCTCTCTCTCAGCCACTCTCTCTCTTTCTCTGGTCTCTCTAGACTCTCTCTCTCTCTGGTCTCTCTATTCTTTCTCTCTTTTGCTTGTGTCTTTCTCTCTGGTCTCTCTATTCTCTCTCTCTTTCTCTCTATGGTTTCTTTATTTTCTCTCTTTCTATCTTGTCTCTCTCTCTCTAGTCTCTCTATACTCTTTCTCTCTCTCTCTCTCTCTCTCTCTCTCTCTCCCTCTCTCTCTCTGTTTTCTGTAGTACAATACAATACAATACAATTTATTCTTGTATAGCCCTAGGTCACAACAGAAGTCATCTCAGAGGACTTAACAAAACCATTGAAATCACCAACACAGGTCAGAGAATCAACAGTTAAAACACATGAAAAATATAAAGCACACACAGAAGAAAATGTTCATACATGTTGTAGAATGCTAAAGTGTCCTGATCATCACCAATCCTTTCTTGTTGGACACTAACTGTCCAACAAGACCCTCCTGCATCGACAAGGAAAAACTCTTAAAAAACCCAGTGGGAAAAAGTGAGAAACCTTGGGGAGAACTAGGTAAACCCACAGGGAGGGAGCCCCATTTGAGAAAGGGATCCGCTCCTCCGGACGGACAGGCTAATGATCTAGGACCTAAGCTAGCTACAGAACGTGGACCAGTGGCCGCTGAACGTGGACAGGTCCGGTGCAGGACTGAAGCACTCCCAGGCGGGTCGGGCGGGGCAGTCCGCAGGTGTAGATGGAGGAGGCCAGGCGCAGAGATCCCGTCATCGTACCATGAAACAGACAATGGGACAACGGGTGAATAGCAATGAACAAACTACAGTCAAAATCCTAATAATGCTAAACAGATAAAGAGGAGGATCGTGCTCAAGTTACCATACTTCTCCCAGCAAACTGACTCCCTATGCAGCTTGACTGACAGTCTGAGGAGTTTAGCCTTCCCTGAGTCTTACCTTCAAAGCCATATGCTAAACTAAAGAGGACTGTTTTAAACCTAGCCTTGAATAAAGAGAGCGTATCTGAAAGGAGGCGAGACAGCAGCAGCCACGGCTAGGCTAGCCTAGGCTACAGCACCAAGATTCATGGATTGCACACCAGGTGTGCAAACCGATCCAAGCAAACCTAATTATATATTATATATCATATATACCATACATATTATATATAATACATAACATAACATACAGCATTATATATAACATAATATACAACATAACACAATACACAACATAATACATATATTGTATAATGTATAACATAATACAGCACATATATATAATATATACACCACATATTATATATTAACTAATTATATACTAAATTAAAGTAGAGTGCTTAGTCCTAGCTGCTGTATTCTGAACGAGCTGGAAGCTCTTCAAAAAGGTTTTAGGGCACGCTGCCAGTAAAGCGTTACAGTAGTCAAGTCTTGAGGTGACAAACGCGTGAATACGTTTTTCCGCGTCACTTTTAGGAAGGAAATTCCTAATTTTAGCGATGTTCCGTAAGTGGAAGTACGCCGTTTTAGTTGCTTGGCTTATATAAGCCTTGAAGGAGAGTCTATTGTGTCAAATGCAGCACTAAGGTCCAGTAGGACCTGCACTGACACTTGTCCATTAGTCTCTCTCTCTCTGGTCTCTTTATTCTCTCTCTCTCTCTCTCTCTCTCTCTTTCTGGTCTCTCTCTGGTCTCTTTATTCTCTCTCTCTCTCTCTCTCTCTCTCTCTCTCTCTCTTTCTGGTCTCTCTCTGGTCTCTTTATTCTCTCTCTCTCTCTTTCTGGTCTCTCTCTGGTCTCTTTATTCTCTCTCTCTCTCTCTCTCTTTCTGGTCTCTCTCTGGTCTCTTTATTCTCTCTCTCTTTCTTTCACGTCTCTCTCTCTCCCTGGACTCTCTCTATTCTCTTTCTCTCTCTCTGTCTCTCTCTCGGTTTTCTCTAGTCTCTCTCTCTCTCGCTCTCTCTCTGGTCTCTTTATTCTCTCTCTTTCTCTTTCTCTCACGTCTCTCTCTCTCCCTGGTCCTTCTTTTCTCTCTCTCTCTCTCTTTCTTTCTGGTCTCTCTCTATTCTTTTTCTTTCTCTCTTGTCTCGCTTTCTCTTTGTTCTCTCTAGTCTCTCTCTCTCTCTGGTCACTCTCTCTTTAGGTCTCTCTCTAGTCTCTCTCTCTCTCTCTCTAGTCTCTCTCTCTCTCTCTCTAGTCTCTCTCTCTCTCTCTGGTCCTCTGTCCTGTGTCCTCTGTGGGTCAAGTTTCATGGAGCTTTTAGTGTCCCTTGTCCTGAGATCCTGTTCTTTTGAAATCCATTTGTTTTAGAGGGATAAAAGAACATATTTTGGGCCTCCATGTTGGACAATCTAAATGTGTTATGTATGAAAAAGAAAAGATATATTATGTACTGTATCTTAGCTTTAAGAGATGTTTAACCCAAAATCCATATATATTTATCTTTAGATGCAGAGCCACACGAAGCAAAGACTGCAGAACACTGAGGCACAAATCCAGCACCAACGGGAGAAACTGGCCGAGGTGGACGCCATCTTGGCTCAACGCAGAGACGCACTAACACGCGTCAAACGGGCGGTCAGCTCTCTGCAGAAGGACCGGGGTCGGCTGAGGGAGCAGTGTGGCCTCATGGGAAATGTAGTCCTCCTGAAGGACTATCACAGCACCCAACAGGCCATGGCTGCACTGGAGGGAAAGCTGCAGGAGTTAAAGTGTCGTCAGGCGGATTTAGAGTTTGACTTTGAGCAAAGGAAGAAGAGGTTTCAGACAATTTGATATCAGAGTCAGGAAGTGTAATTATCACAGACCTGGAGTTATTTTTAGATCTATTCATGCTGATGTTCTGAATTTTAGGTTCAAACTGGTAACACCAGTTTATGAAAGTTCTCTGGAGTTTGAAAAGCTCTAATGCAGTCTTTATGTCTTGGATATGTGACTTTTCTGTTGAGTGGTTTTTATGATGTTTGCTGATGTTGCTCTGCTTTCATTTCGTGTGGGTTTGAGTCTGAGACCAAATCTTTCCATTCTTTTGAAACAAAGCCCTCTTTCAGTCCTACTTCTTCATCTGAGTATGATGTGTCTTCATCTTGATGTGGATCAATCCAAGTCATCCTCAGATATATCTTCCTCTATTTCAGTCTGATTGGGCTGAGTGTACAGCACTCATTTCTTCCTCCATCCACGTAGGTTTCCTCCAGTTTTAGTGAAAGTAAGTTATTTATACAGGGTTCCCCTTTAGTCACTTTTAATTCATGCTAAAACTAATGAATATAACTTGAAACACAGCGAGTTTTGGAAACCAAACAACTAATGGATTATCAGAATAATGAACTTAATCACAGCATCATGTTGAAATGGAAAGAATGGGTTTTATTAACAAACACAGTTTAAATGGTCAAAATAGTTTCACAATATAAAAGATGCAAATACAAATACAATACAATACAATACAATTTATTCTTGTATAGCCCTAGGTCACAACAGAAGTCATCTCAGAGGACTTAACAAAACCATTGAAATCACCAACACAGGTCAGAGAATCAACAGTTAAAACACATGAAAAATATAAAGCACACACAGAAGAAAATGTCCATACATGTTGTAGAATGCTAAAGTGTCCTGATCATCACCAATCCTTTCTGTTGGACACTAACTGTCCAACAAGACCCTCCTGCATCGACAAGGAAAAACTCTTAAAAAACCCAGTGGGAAAAAGTGAGAAACCTTGGAGGAGAACTAGGGAAACCCACAGGGAGGGAGACCCATATGAGAAAGGGATCTGCTCCTCCGGACGGACAGGCTAATGATCCAGGACCTAAGCTAGCTACAGAACGTGGACCAGTGGACGCTGAACGTGGACAGGTCCGGTGCAGGACCGAAGCACTCCCAGGCGGGTCGGGCGGGGCAGTCCGCGGGTGTAGATGGAGGAGGCCAGGCTCAGAGATCCCGTCATCGTACCATGAAACAGACAATGGGACAACGGGTGAATAGCAATGAACAAACTACAGTCAGAATCCTAATAATGCTAAACAGATAAAGTAGGAAGGAGGAGAGGATAGTGCTCAAGTTACCATACTTCTCCCAGCAAACTGACTCCCTATGCAGCTTGACTGAAAGTCTGAGGAGTTTAGCCTTCCCTGAGTCTTACTGTACCTTCCTAGCCATATGCTAAACTAAAGAGGACTGTTTTAAACCTAGCCTTGAATAAAGAGATTCATGGATTGCACACCAGGTGTGCAAACCGATCCAAGCAAACCTAATTATATATTATATATCATATACATCACATTTACCATACATACCATATATATCATATATAATACACAACATAACATACAGCATAATATATAACATAATATACAACATAACACAATACATTATTGTATAATATATAACATAATATACAACATAATACAGCATATATATATAATATATACACCATATATTATATATTACCTAATTATATGCTAAATTAAAGTAAAGTGCTTTAAGCCTGGCCTTGAATGTGGAGACCGTATCTGCTTCCTTAACATAAATGGGAAGCTGATTCCACAGTAAAGGAGCTTGGTAGCTAAATGCTCTGCCACCAACAGTGATTTTTGAGACCTTAGGAACCACCAGACGTCTGGCGTTTTGTGAGCGCAACGCTCGACTTGGTTGATACGACACTAACGTGTCTTGGAGATAAGAGGGAGCCATACACACACACACACACACACACACACGCACGCACACACACACACACACAGACGGAATTATCAAATAAAACAGTGACGACTTTCTCATTTGGCTGTTCTTTATTAAAAAGTAAACACACTATCATTCAGTTTACAACAGATCTGTGATAGTGTAGCTTTGACAAATCTATGATTACAGACTCAATGACTGAACAGATATTTCCACAGTTATTTCAACATTAGTACCATATTAATCAGAAACAATTAAATTAAAAATATTATATTTGATTGAATGTTTTATTGTTTATTTGTTGATACAATCACTGCCAGAGACAGAAAGAGACTGATCTAGAATTTTCTGTTACAGGTCAAAATCCTGGAGCATGGTCTCCGGTCTCATTTCAACATTGGAAACAGATTGAACAGCAAACCAACAAGTAGACTCAGGATCAGCAGCAGGTTGGCCCTGATGAGCTGGCTGTGGTTAGCTACTTTACAGTTGAGTTTTGATTTCACTCCGACACTTTCCAGGACAAAGATCTTGTTACAATCCAGCCCGTCATGGGAGCCTGTATGTATTTCAGTTATTCTAAACTTCTCAAATGGAGGAATGAGTACTTCTCTTTCCTTTGGAAAATATGAGTAATCATCTATGAAAGCTCCGTGGCAGGTTTCAATGTGAAAACAACTCACCCTACCAAAAACATCCCCAAGATTAGCTTTTGTAGAACTAGATGCAAAGTGCCCAAATCGCATGACGTCCCCTTTATTTCCATTAAACTCTACTTTAGTTCTCCTGTAAGACTTTAGACAGTCCTTTGTTTTAAGGATCAGCAAGGCGTCAGTGAGCCAAAAAGTTAAAGCGTGGAAATGGAAATCCGGAGTGCCATATTTATCTGCACCAGTTCTCATCTTTGTGTTTAGATCTTCGTGGACCTTTGGTGTATTATATGAGTAGACACAGAGCGCTCTGGTGTGATTGATGGTCAGGTCTGTGAACCTGGGCTGGAGTCTCTCTAATAAACTTTGTGCACACTTTCCACTTGCCAAACTTGCGGTGGCCTGATCCCATGCCTGACGAAACAGTGCATTGCTGCCATACTCTCTGGGAAAGTAATCCTCAATGACTTTTTGAGAAGTTTTCATGACGCAGTTCTTGAACTGGTCATCAATGGAGTTCTCCATCATACTTAGTTGAACTGACCGCGCAGATTCCTAGGAAAGTAGCAAAGACAGTGGGCAAAAAAGTATTTAGTCAACCACCAATTATGCAAGTCCTTCCACATTAAAAGAGATGCCTTTAATTCTCGTCATAGATGAGAGACAAAGTGAAAGTTTTTAAATGCTAATGTTCGTGGAAAATTATTATTTAGTCAATAAGAAAAGTTCAATATACTGTATTGATTGACTGGATTTTTGTCTCTCAGAGTTGAGGTAAACCTGTGATGAAAATTACAGGCATCTCTCATCTTGTTAAGTGGGAGGACTTTCTGACTAAATACTTTATGTCCCAGAATATATCACTGATTGAGTTATTGATTCATTCAAAATGTGGAAAGCGTACGAACCTGTGCAGCAGTCACTGATAAAAGCAGGAACAACACAACGGTCCACAGCATCTTCACTTCTGTAATCAGCAAAAGTGTCTCAATGACAGTACACTACATTTACACATGGATTCTAGCATTCTGAAACATTAGCATTAGCATTAGAAGTCATATTAAAATACTGAGTATAAAAGGTTCTACAAACCTATGGCTATGCTGAGGATGGAGAGATGGAGTTGTGCCCTTGGACAAGACACTTCTTCAGAGGTGGGTAGAAAGAGCGGAGGAATCAGTATATATACAGTATTACCAATAATGAAAGTGACGTTTATGAACTTATGAACATCCTTCATTCTTATCTTAGTCACTTATTTCTTATATTGATCTCATTGTTTGTGGAGTCACAGCCCTGCAATTATTGACTTCAATAAAGATAAGATTAGATCCACTTTGTGGATCTCACAATGAAGAAAAGATAAACATTATCTATATTCTCAGGAGAGAATAGAACAACTCACATTTATGAACCTTTATGTTGCGTTAATGATCATCCCGCTCCCTATGGACCAACGGCCTCTATGTGTTTGTTACTGTCGTATTTCCGCCTCTCTTTGTCTTCTAACTGACTGAGTTGATTTTGAAAACGGACAACTGTTCCTGGGTGAAAATACATTTTAGGTGAACCATATTTTACAAAAGATGTACTTAGAATAAGTATATTCGAAGTTTACGTCTGCAGTGTAAACAAAAGTCTGACGACTGCCATCATTGAACTCATCACTGAGGAGACGATGCAGAGTGGACTGGTGTCAACGGACCCACCTCCTCCTCAACAGAAGACCAAGGAGATGACCCACCTCCTCCTCAACAGAAGACCAAGGAGATGACCCACCTCCTCAGCAACAGAAGACCAAGGAGATGACCCACCTCCTCATCAATGTGGAGAAGACCAAAGAGTTGGTGGTGGATTTCCGCAGACGTCACTCTGCTGCTCCAGTTCCAGTGAACATCCAGGGAAGGGACATTGAGAGAGTGGACTCTGACAAGTATCCGGGTGTACATCTGAACCAAAATTGGACTGGACTCATAACACAGACGCCCTCTTCAAGAAGGGCCAGAACCAAGAGACCCCAGCGTAAGCTCCATTTGCAATAGAGAATCCGCTAGCTTTTTGTGGGTAGCCTCATAATTGTGGACACATGGACACTGGGTCTCAATTTCTGTGAGACAAAGTATCTCTGATAGAGCCGAGTTGCTCTTTAAGGTGCTCAAATTTTTCTTTAGATTTGTCCTCTGCACGTTTAAAGAACTTCTCAAGTGCGGATTCAAGTTTGGCCTCCGTATCAGTTTTCCCGATTATTTAAAACACAAATTTATTCCTTTCCAATCCTTGTAAAGTGTGCGTTTTTTTGTAGTTCCAAGAGGAGCTGGAAAACATGCGTTTAAATGTAAAGCTCCGTCTGACTGGAACAGATTGCTGTTGTCAATTCGCTCTCTAACTTCTCTGCCTCTGTTTAAAACCTGCTCTGGTACAATATCTCCAGAATTCATG